ACATGGAATGTGAGAGGTGTTTGACATGGTTCGGACTATATAACTAAAACTTTGTCACTTCCGGTTGACGTCATTGCTCTACAGGAGCACTGGTTTTCTGCAGATAACAGACAACTTAACAACCTTTGAAGGCACTAAACTAATAGCATACAAAGCTGTTCCTCGTAATCTCTCATGTTCTAGGGGTTCAGGTGGATTAGCCTTTTTAATTAATAAGCAGTGTAATTGGAAGGCTGAAGCTGTATCCACTCTCACAAGTCATGCAATAGCAGTCAAACTGTCCCGTAAACATCATACAGATGTTTTTATTATTGCGTGTAGACTGCCCTCAACAAATGTACTACATTCTGTTTATTGTGATGCACTTAATGAGATTTTAGACATTTATGATAACCTTTGTCAGCTTGGTACTACTATTATCATGGGTGATCTCAATGCAGATATATGCAAACACCCTTTGTCTTCACGGGCCAAGCATCTCAATAACATGGTGCCTGATAGATACCTTTCACATGTTGTTAATACTTTACGATCTAGTGGACACGGATTTACATTTTGATCCAAAGATATCCTCTCTCAAAGCCTAATCGATTATTTTCTTGTTCCATCTTTGGCTCAGGGCTATGTTACAAATTGTGAAGTGATAGACTCATGCCCTTATTCAGTATCCGATCACTTTCCTTGTCTTACGTCCCTTTCAGAACACGTCCCACTTCGTGATGATTCTAACAAAAACCCTAAAGTCCCAAAATCGAACAAAGCTAACAGGGACAACTTGGAGAGAGAGAGAGAGAGAGAGAGAGAGAGAGAAGAGAGAGAGAGAGAGAGAGAGAGAGAGAGACAGAGAGAGAGAGAGAGAGAGAGAAGAGAGAGAGAGAGAGAGAGAGAGAGACAGAGAGAGAGAGAGAGAGAGAGAGAGAGAGAGAGAGAGAGAGAGAGTGTCTGTATTTCCTCCAGACGATCACCCGAAGATCAAACACATTATATACATGTAGATACAAGAAAGGGGGCAAAGTTACAAAATTGATATAGATGTATATACAATTATATTAATCAACATGAATACCTAAAGCTACAATTTACATAAGAACATACATGTATATGTGTATACAATTAATTTATACAAGAAACTTCCGAAAGTGGACATACATCATTATAAATCTGCAGAGATCAATCAGTGTAACATTGTAGGAAATGTCGTCTTATTCGCTAAATGTATAAAGAAAATCGTAAAATGATTGTTTCCCATGTCCCTTGATCAACATTATCATTAAAAACAGTTTCACCTCCAAATAGAAAAGAGAGCATATCGAGTTCATCCTGTGATTCAAAGGCAACATAGGTTTCCACATCAAGAATGTCAATTATAAACACAAAAAATTCGTTTCTCTCAGTGTGAAGTTGTTCACAGTGTAGGAGTATATAAAAATCATAATCATAAGTATCTTTGTTGCATAGGTTACATTCTTTAGATATTTTGCCACCTGATGAGATTTTAATACATATTTGGAGGGCAGATTTATAATTGGGATGCAAGTATGCCAATTGCCAGAGGATGTGATAGTTTAACTTGGAATGGACCCGTGCATAAAGCGTCATGTTTGTATTAATTGAGGTTTGCATAACCCATCTGTGTTCTTCATAGCTATGTACAGATGTATTTACAATTTTTTGCCATTCGTACTTTGGAGGGAATACACCTTCTTTAATATATTTTTCTATGTGTACATGTAAATTATATTTGTAGAGTACTGATAGTAGATCATCACAGATTGAAAGGGATTTTGTAGATGTGGTTATTGCTGCACAAAATATGTTTTTGGCAAAAATTATCACAAGAGATTTTGCAAAATGGAACAAAGCTAACAGGGACAACTTCGATATGTTTGAGTATGAAGTAGCAAAATATCTCAGCTTCGTATTTGACCCTAGCACACAAATTACAACTGACCATTGTCAAGTTATAGAAAACCACTGTCATGTTATTACTAACGGCCTCATACAGGCCAGCTGTAAATGTATCCCACAAAGTACATTCAAGCCTTATCTAAAGCCATACTGGAAACTGGATGGTTTAGATAATGCCGACTACCGTATGAGAGTTGCTCGTAGAGCATGGATTAACAGAGGTAAGCCCAGAAGTGAGGACTTGGATGTATTATTATCATATATAACTGAAAAGTCAAATTTTAGACGTTTGCATCGAAAGTCTAAAAGATCAAAAAAGCTTGAGGTTTTGGCTGAAATTGAACATGCAGCTGAACTTGATATCAATACCTTTTACAAAAGTGTCAGAAAACAAAGATCCACAACTGATGTTATAACAAGGCTTAACTATGATAATAAAAAGGAATAAACACCTGCTGGTATATGTAGACTGTGAGGGTAAATATTACTCGGACTTAACTCAGCCACACATCTCACATATGTTTGATGATGAATTTAAAGATGAAATATGTCTGAGGGTTGAAGGTATTGAAGCATTAGATGACTATTTAATCGATGAAGGACTGGAAAGGGAATTTACAGATAACGATGTACGAGAGACTGTCAAATCTCTCTGCAAAAACAAATCTCCAGGCCCAGATATCATTACAAATGAGCACATTATCCACGAGGGGCAATGTCTCATTACACAGCTTTGTGTCTGTTTAACAAAATGATTAAATTTCGCTTTGTGCCTTTTAATTTTAGACTTGGTATGGTCATTCCAATCTATAAAGGTAAAATGGAAAAATCAGATCCCCGAAACTATAAGGGGAATTACTCTGACGTCATGCCTTGGAAAACTTTTTGAGAAGCTATTACTAAATGAATAGAAACTAACTTGCTTGAAAATAATCCTTATTTCCCTGATATACTCCTATTTGGATTTAGAAAGGAACATGGGGCAGTTATGAGCGTTGTTGCTTTTATTGAAAGTATCAATTATTACATTGAGAGAAACTCTACAGTCTATACTGCCTTTCTAGATAACGAAAAAGCATTTGACAGAATATGGCACGATGGTCTATTTTACAAGTTACGTCAACTGGGCATCCAGGGACACATCTGGAAACTACTGCACTACAGTTATACAACTAGTTATGCTTTCGTAAGATATAAGGGTGAAACCTCTGACAAGTATCCTGTTAAGCAAGGTTTTGGCCAAGGCAGAGTCATGTCGTCCTGGTTCTTCTTAGTGTTTATCAATGACTTGATTTCTTCTCTGAGACAGGCTAGTAATGGCCTAAGTGTGTATGGTCTGAATGTTCCGACTATATTGCTTACCGACGACACAACACTTGTAAGTACTTCACCAAAGGGACTTCAAACTGCTCTCAATACTGTACATACATATGCCAATAAATGGCGCTTAACATACAATCCTGCAAAGAGCACAGTAATCATATTTGATAAAAGTAAACTACACTTTTGGCAATGAAAACATCGTACCAGCAGATTCCACTACTTACGGCGGTATACTTCTAACGTCTGATTGAACATGTAAATCTAGAATTGAAAAGTGTTGTCAGAAAGCAAGACAGAGTTTTAATTCCCTTAAATGCTTGGGGCTAAATAACACTGACCTACATCCAGCTACCAGTGTTAAGATATGGGAAAGAATGATTCTGAAAACCAGCTTTTATGGCTGTGAACTATTGTTTGACATTAAAGGGCAGCAACTTTGATTGCTAGAAAACACACAGCGGTATTTTGTCCCCACTGTCCAAGGACTAGATAAGAGATCTACGTCTGAACCCACCATTGCAAACTTAGGATTGTGGACCATGATTGGCTACATTGATAAAAGTAAACTCCAGTTCTTTGGCTCTGTATGCAACACTAGTTGTGACAATCTCATAAAACACATATTCTGTGCTTCCATGGCTAATGCGCCCCGAAAATCAACTATTTATGGAGATCTACAGTCCGTCTTGTGCAAATACAACCTTATAAACTACTTATATGCTTATTGATACAGTGGTTCATTCCCTCCGAAACAACAGTGGAGACGAATTGTAAACAAACAAGTACACAAATATGAAGAACAAATGTGGCGTAACAAAGTATCACTTAATACAGGACTGTCTCGTTACATGCGAGCTCATACATCACTGACATGTCACATACTTTTGAACTTAACATTTTATACCCTGAACACAGAGCAGCCTTGCAATTGTGTTTGAAAATTTCATCACGAAATAAAATCTCAAAAGAATGTTTGCTTTGCAACAAGCACGCTGATGATTAGGACAACCATGTGATACTACACTGTGAAAAATTATTACCTCTCCGAAATTACCATTTTTTCATCTCTGATTGATCTACTTGATGTTGAAACCTATGTACATTTTGAAATGTTGGAAGACGATGAAATGTTGTCAAATCTCCAAGGTGCAGATACACAGTTCACACGATCCCTAGTGCGGGACACTTATCGTGTTGTCATTATAAACTTTGCAACATATGTCTATCAATTGAAACCATATCTTGAGTTTGTATTTAAATGGAGACACTCTGTGTACAAGTGCCGCCATCCCTTTGTGAATGTTATTATATTTCTGTACATATCAATTGTCAACTATGAATGACATTGTCCTGTATGTAAATACTAATGTGTTTTAGGTTTGATTGAATTCATGTATCAATAATATTCGGATTGAGTTCTGGATGAAATAAAGAATATCTAACTCTCTCTCTCTCTCTCTCTCTCTCTCTCTCTCTCTCTCTCTCTCTCTCTCTCTCTCTCTCTCTCACTCTCATTCTCACTCTCACTCTCTCTCTCATAATAATTAACTCATGGACATAACTGTTATACTACGATGATAACAGTACATGTTACAAATACGTTGAAGTTATTATATAACCTCTACACGTATCTCCAATGATGTATGCATGAACTTTGAAACTAGAACAATTATGAAACGTCTTATCTGCACCTGAAACGCTCTGACTAGTAAGTAATGGAACACGCGTTGTGTGTTTAGATAGCGCCCTCACAACGCGTGGTAATTCACACACATGCCTGACTACATTAAAAGATTAGCCATAAGAACGCTAGTCCATTAGCATTTGCCATCGTCGATATGGCTACACACATATTTCTGCTCATCGGCCTCGTGGCTTCGTCTGCATTAGCAGGGCCACAGCCAACAATCAAATTACATAAGGACCAGCAGAACACCTTGGCTGTTTTCTTTCCCGGTAAGCATATTAGTGATAAGCTATGATTTCTCTTATTACTTCAAATTTATAAGCGGGGGTCGGCCCAACAGCGTTCCAACTCTCTCATTCACTTACTCACTCACTCAAAATGCTGACATTGTTTCATCCACAGATGTACCAACTGTATATACCATTGAATTCAAGTACGCTATCCATCAACCATCGGGACATTTACCACGTTTGATGGACACTGTCACAGTATATAGAAATCGTGAGTATCAGTATTTAGTTTTGGATATGGAAGTATGTTAGAGCTAACGTCGTTTAGTGCAGTGATTACAAAATGTAGGGCACAGCCAATTATTTGCTTCACATGTATGGTGAACCAAGGACACCAAAGGTACCAAATCACGCAGAAATGGCCGACGCGAATGATGGAACTTTTCTTCAAACGTTCTGGAAGTGTGCAGTGAATGAATTAATGCCAAGGTTGTCGTTCTAATTATTAGATTGCTAGTTAATACATAGCGTTTGATCGGCTAACCAAGCAGTTCCTCCGTTCATGTTCCCTTAAACTAAAATTATATTAGACCGCAACAGACTACTGTTTGACAATACAATATGGGCATGTGTTGGACCTTTTCCGTCATAAGATGTCACTGGGTTTTTTTGTGGTGGGATTCTACAGTTTTGTCTACTGGTGAATAGTTTAAGGAATTTCAACATGTAAATGCAGAACACCAATTTTAGAACCTAAACGTCTCGATTACAAATATATCAAAATGGTTAAAAAAGACAAATACATGTAGTTAAAAAATGATTTGAATCAATCATTGAAAATTAGTGATGACGCTTTGTATTCGTGACGACGCAGTGAATGAGTGAGTATGTCCTGCTTGACCGGTGACAAACGCCACTGACACTATTGTCTTTGAAAAGGAAGTGGCAGTAGCTACTGTGTATGCACAGGCAGTATTGGATAACATGGATTTGCGGTCAAGAGACATGTCATTCCTGTCAATGTCTGTGTAAACGATTCTCGAATGACTTAACCTGGTCTTTGATCGTGAAACCTTCACCAAAATGTTTAGTTGTAAGCATATTGTGGCTTCCTGTAAATTGGAAGTAAATGTTTAAGAGCACATGAACGCATAATATAAACTGTACATTAACGGTACTGTTTCTTTATAAAACATCCTCGATAATCTCCAGGGTATACGTTACGATCACGCTCCACTATACCCTGGATGCATCCACGGCTTGGGGCGATGATTTTATTACCTCCCTTGGCTGACTTTTTATCCAATCAGGTGCCTACGCTGGGAAGTTGAACTCACTTTCGCTTCTTAAATTGTCTAACCGTTTAAACTTGGGAACACAATTGATGCAGAGGTACTCTGAAAGAAGTAGAAGTAGTTCTGTCATATATTTTTTTAAAGTTTCAGATCTGTCACTTTGTCTTTATTATTTCCAAAAAAATCTGAGTGGCACTGCAAACAAACCATTGCGACTGCGACACTATCCTTGTTGACACTGGCAAGCTCGGTTGTAACCGCGGCTTAGCTGATTGGCTACTGTGAGAATGCGGAGCCAGCCAAGGGAGGTAATTACATCGTGGCCCCAAGCCTTGGATGCATCCAGGGTATAATGGAGAGTGATCGTAACGTATACCCTGGAGATTATCGATGGTGTTTATAAAATGGCTGCTTGGGTATATCATTCAAATGTTGATATTTAGTTTTCCATGACATCTGTTGAAATCCCAATGTCTTTTGTTACGGATATTTATCGTTGCAACGGATATTGTCAATAGAATTGGCTGGTGCCAAAGGACATTCAATTATACGTCATTCCCTCATTCCTTGACTTATGCTTCTCTTCCAGCTGTTGGACACTTCTATTGTGAAGTCGAAAGCAAACCTGCCTTCACCGATAAAGAAGTAATGGAATATTCTGTAAACTATTTATCAGCAACTGGCGATGTTGTATACCACGTGGACGGTGTATTCAGTATTCCAGGTATGCCCTTTTTTAAACTATGTATACATTTTGCACTGCCGTTTTATATATATGGTCATATTGGATATTGAATCAGTATGTTTGTGTGAGTGAGTAAGTGATTAAGTGAGTTTAGTTTTACGCCGAACTCAGCAATATGCCAGCTTCCTATCCCCACTGTACTGTACAAACATCTATGCCAGCTCCTTCATCCTTATGCTATTCATCACTTGCTTGATAACGGTGTTAGAACCTACACCGAAACGTCGCTCTCACAGCAATAAAGAAGTTGTTGATCCATATATTGTTATCCTTCCTTACTGCTCCAACTTCTAAATGCCTCTCAGAAAAGGATATCAGTATGTAAAACATATGATTTGATAAAAGTATAATGAATACTGTACACATTATTATGAAGAACCATTTTCTCGAAGAACGCACTGACTTTTTGTTGTGTGTTGTTTAATATTTTACATATTTGACGGCGTTCTGTAATTATTCGAGTCAAGGCAGAGCAGTGGTTGACAATGTGAGCATCGATCACCGCAATTGGGGTACGATGACATGCATCAACCTAGCCAAGCCTTTTCGAAGTCATAGGATGATGAAGACCAAGCGTAACCCAAGTCCTCACGCTTAATAAGTAGCTGCAGGCAAAATAATGCAAGAACTTGCTTAACAAATGTGAACATGAAATGGACCATCACGACAAATTCGACACTGACCACGCCAAAATAACAGCGTTATATATTACATACAGCTGCTTCATCTCTGAGCCCTAGGCTATACCGCCGTGGTAGCACGGTCTTTCAGGACACGTTCAACTCGCACCAACTCAATTTGAAGAACTGGAACCATGAAATAACATGCTGGGGAGGAGGGGTAAGATTGATGTCAATCCCAAACAGAATGCCAAAAGGAAACATCCTTGGAATTTCACTTCAAATTCTTGACTTAAGGTCTTTATTATCCTTCAATAATTTCATACTCATCTTGATAATCTACAAGTATGACTTAAGCAATGACATGTTTAATATAAGTCAATTTATTATGATTGTTCGCATCATGGTTGTATGGTTCGTTTTATTTATTACGAAAACACTGAGCTTATCAATTTTATCAGAATGGAGAGTTCCAGATCTACACACCGGAAGCTGCCAACACGTACATCAAGAATGGTGTTCTATATCTCAAACCGGTAATACATTTAATACAGTTCAGATGGCACTGACCATGTATATCCTTTCTTTCATAGACATAGACCTAAACTGTATTTGTGGTTGGTTGGTTGGTTGTTTTTTAACACCGCACTCAGCAGTATTCCAGCTATATGGCGGTTTCAGTAAGTAGTCGAGTCTGGACCAGACAGGCCAGTGATCAACAGCATGAGCATCGATCTACACAATTGGGATACGATGACACGTGTCAACCATGTCAGCGAACCTGACCACCCGATCCCGTTAGTCGCCTCTTACAGTCATGGCTTACTGAAGACCAATTCTAACCCGATCTTCACGGGCATCGCTTTTGTGAAAGTATAATAATGACATTATTTGTGACATTATTAATTTATTCTGCAGACGTTCACTGCTGACAAGTTCGGAGAAAGTTTTCTTCAAAACGGCGTCCTTGATGTCAAACGTATGTACTGAAAGCTCTTGACAGTATGTCTCCATGTTCTAACAGACAGAACACTGACCGAATGCATCTAAGCTCAGACAGCACACTCAACAGAACGTCTCTGTGTTCTAGATGACAGCACACTGACAGAATCTCTTCAGGTTCAAACAGTCAATACATTTGCCCGAATGTCTACATGTTCAAACAGTCAGCACGCTGTACAAATGTCTCCATGTTCAAACAGACAATACATTTGATCAAATGTCTACATGTTCAAACAGACAATACCTTTGAACAAATACCTCCATGTTCAAACAGACAATACATTTGATCAAATGTCTGTACATGTTCAAACAGACAATACCTTTGAACAAATACCTTCATGTTCAAACAGACAACACGCCTACCGTCTTTATATATCCTTAGACAGAATGCTTACCGAATGCATACATGTTCAAACAGACAGCACGCTTACCGAATGCATCCATGTTCAAACAGACAGTACGCTTGACTAAGTATCTCAATGTTCCCTATTACAGAACAGTGGGGGTCATGCACATCAGATAATGACAATGGTTGTCATCGTCGGGGATCGCAGATTCCACCAATAATGTCATCGAAGCTGATCTCTACAGCGTCCATCTCACACGGACGAGTTGAGGTGGTGGCACAGATCCCTAAAGGGGACTGGATCTGGCCAGGTACATCCTTTGTGTCAACTGTCTTGTTATGAATACACAATGGTCAATGGTCAAATGCAACATATGTTACATTTTGGGATTACACATTCCATCGTAGGCTAACGCTTAGTCTCTGAATATATATAATTTTAATAGTAACAAACAAGCCCATTTAACTTGAAAAGGAGCCCCAGGTAGACCAGATAACCAGAGGAAATCTAGACTTGCTTTGTTTAGGGCTTGGCAGTAGGGAAAATAATGTGCTTCAGGGACTGTGAGACGGACTTATTCCATCGCTGCTTCCACAAAAGTAATCCAGACTACCAGTGTCCGACTTCCTTTGTGTGGAAGTTGCGTTGGTTGAGGGGGTTAGATGGCTAACTTTGTGTGCAGGCGGTTAGGTGCCGGATTCAAATTGCGTGGTTCCGAATCCCGTAGATGACTCAACCTAATGCAAGTACTATAATTTGTACTAGAAATTGTATTTTCAAATATAACAGATGTTGGAACTGCCGTGTTGTTTTATGACGTGTGACCCATCTACATTTAGTGAGCTTTATGTGTTCTATTAAAGAAAGATCTTCTGTAAGTTCAAATTCCATAATATATAAACAACTACATGAGCATACATTTGGCATGCGTCTATGATATGGCATAAGTGACATGCTGAACACCTGGTGTCATCTGTTATATGTAGTGATACCTACAAAATTATCATCACTATGTTGCGTTTCACGCCCTTTGGATTTTGATTGATTTTTAAACTGTTTATCAAACTGTGGATATTCAATCCCTGATTTGTTTTTAATGTTGTAGCAATATGGCTCCTTCCTCCCGGGTGGCCTTGGAAATATGGCGCTTGGCCAGCTTCCGGTGAGATCGACATTATGGAATCAAGAGGTGTGTACCTTCTTAAATTTTACTGATTTTAGGTCGATACTGGACATTTAATATTCACTGTGGAGGAGCGAGCTGTTGGCAGAGAATTTTGAACAAGTAAGTTTCAAAATTAATTTCTGAATCTTAATTAAGCAAGACATTTTCGAATCTGAAAATATTAGATGTCCCGCTGAAGAAAATTTAAAACAAATGTGGCACACATGTGAAAACAGAATATTTATTGATCATATCACAATATAAGACATTTAGTGCTTTTTTAAAGCGGCAAGAAAGGGACTTATCACAAATAGAATTAGTATAACAATTCACATGTAAAACATATCAACTGATGGAGAACACAATGTGAGAAGTGTATACTAATAAAAATTCAAATGTAAAATTAACTAACTGGTACGTATAAATGTGAAGATCATACAACCTTCAGAATACACCTCCTTTGAAATACTGGTATACATACTGGTTAAAACTAACACATATGTGCTTTCCTGCAAAGGTAACCTCCATATGAAAGACGGTGGTGGCGCAAGCCAAGGTGCTGACCGGGTCTTGTCCACTATTCACTACGGAGCGTCTCCTAGTCAACACAGACAACAAGGACAGTTTAAGTAAGTCTACAGAACTATCCATTTTCAAGTATTATTGCTGGCGAAATAATGTATTGTTGAACACCTTGGTGATTAGCTTGGTGATCATGTCTTCGTGATACACCTTCGGTTGCTGGCGATCTATAGCCCGTTTTTATATTGCATTGTTGTTTAAAGTAATATATTTTTACGGTTACGTGTAAGTTTTTAGAGAAATTCTGTGATAATCTAGTGATGTTACTGTCTTTCAGTGACAGGTATTTATTGCATCTGAGTTGGGTGTTATTAAAATATAGATTTTATTGTCACGATGTGGCTGAAATACTGTTGATGTGACTTGAGATCATGGAAAGGCTTGAACAGGAGTTTCTCAAGTCGTCTCTGTACTTGTCTACTGGTCATGAAAGCAATGAATTATAGACGTCATAACCAGAAGCAAGCAACACATGTACATACACCAGGGGTCCGATCCACAACACGTTCGTCGCAGTATGCCATTCGTAAACCAATGATGACGTATAGAGATACGACACGTCGTAACGTTACGAACGCTTGTGGATGGGTACTCGGCATTGTTATCCAGAATGATGTGTTATCGATAGCTGTTCACTCATACGAATGGTCTCCTTAATCATCATTCGCTCGTATGATAATCACAGGTTATAATACGTTCCCAGCAATCTATGTCGTAAGAACCAACATGAAGAATCCAGGATGATATAGTCAGGGCATATGATTCCGTCGATAACGTGCTGACATACCCCGATGGTAGGGATAAGTGTTCATGATATCAGTCGCCCGGTGTTGGGGTGAAGTCGTCCTGTAAGGTAACGATGTGCAGTGTTGATACAACAATAAAAAAAACACACTTTGAAGTTAGATAATGTGTTTTACAGATTGAGCAAAGCTGGCACAACTTGGGGTGATGGTTTTCATACTTACTCAGTGGACTGGACAGATGGACATATCAGGTAACGTGCAATGTCATTAAAATTCGCTTGCTATGAAAGTGTGAACTGGACATTTCTCAAATTCGCTGGCAAAAGCGCTGCAAAATATAAACGTAAAGGCAAACAAATAACATATCCTATCACCCTTATTTCTATACTTTGTAAACGTGTAAATATCAGGAACTCGAAGGTTGCCAAAAAACCATTAATATCAACCAAAACGCTTCATTAAAGGCTTAAATATCATGAAAGCGAATGTGAAGAATATCTCAATATCAGTAACCCCTAGCTTAATAAAGGTGTGATATCAAATCTGATAAAGGCGTTAATATTCAGTTAATGCCATGAATCTGTCCATATGAGGAACTCAATATTTGAACGAAAAAACGTGATAAAAATTGTTGAAGTCAGTTACTCCAAGGTCATAATCTCAACGCTTCCTAGAAGTGTTACTAACTTAGAAGTTAAGGCTGCTAAACATTTTGGAGAATTTGTTATAAGTGTAAATGCATGACACGTGTATAACATGAGTAAATGGGGAACACATTCATTTTTTAACATTGTCTATTTCCATTTTTAGGCATATTTTGTGCATGGCGGGCGCTACCGCTAGAGTAGGACATACTTATCCTCTTCGCGAACACCTGGTGTCATCACTGATTTTCAGTGATTCATTCATATTTTAACAGCTATTTTTCCCATTACATCAATTGGAATTTGTTTCTGAAGACGGTCAAGCCCGGTTATTCTCTTGCACAGGCATTCTATATTTAAGTACACATAAAAGAATTAATTTCTAAGCAGATACTGGTATTGATAACTTGTATTAATCCTCTAATTAGGATGGACATAGACAACCAGCCAGTCATGTCCTGGTCAACACCCTCTCAAGGGTACTGGTCATACAGTCATCAGACTGGTACCAATGTCTGGTCCAGTGGTGGTAAAGATGCGCCCTTTGATGGGAAGGTAAGGAAATTGTTTCATCTGACCACATAAGGTGCCATGAGTGAGCGATTGGGGTTGGTGTTATCTCGCTTTAATCATTATTGGTGTTATCTCAATGGTACAGACATACTTGGGAGCAGAAGGATGACGATTGGAATCAAACATCCCGATCAAATGTTTCTGACAAGCTTAAAGGATCCAGCTCGTCATAGCAATCAGCGGGGTTAGACGAATGTGTCTTTCTCGGAAGATTTAGATGATCATGCTTTTCAGCCTGTGAATATGAACAATATCCATGTGGTGGTGGGGTAATCTAGCTGTCAGACGAAATCTGTGTACAGAAGTATAGTGTGTAAGGCAAACACGTTTGCATTGCTTGTACATTGTTAAAAGCCGCGTGAACTCACTCATTCACTCACTATCAGTGATTAAAGTGGTGTCGATATACATATACAGTTTACTTCTAAAATATTCAGCTGCAAAAACAGTTTACGGATAGCTACAGACTCGGCTTTTACAGGCTGTCTTAATATAACTGGAATGCTGTTGACTGCGGCGTAAAACTACATTCATTCCCTCATTTTTCTATAGACAGAGGGGCGGTGGGGTAGGCTAGTGGTTAAAGCATTCACTCATAGCGCTAAAGACCCAGGTTCGATTCCCTACATGGGTACAATGTGTGAAGCCCATCTCTGGTGTTCCTCCACGCAATATTGCTGGAATTGCTAAAAGCAGCGTAAAACCATACTCACTAACTCACTATCACGTTCCAGATGAGCCTCATTCTGAACGTCGCTGTAGGCGCCACCAATGGTTACTTCCCCGACTCATGGCGAAACACTCCTCATGCTAAACCCTGGAAGAACAACTCACCAACTGCTAGTAGGGATTTCTGGAAGAGCAAGCACCAGTGGCAGTCAACTTGGCATGGCGAAGACGTTGCAATGAAGGTCAAGTCGGTCAAGATGATACAGTATTAATAACAGAAGATTGGACAAGGGTTAACGGAATAAAATTCATTGTAATACCTGTCTGTTTGTGGAAACTAATTTAACCCTGAGAATAACAAACGCCAAAGCCCCATACATTTATGGTTTGGAGTTTTGCCATAGTGATGATTTACAAACCGTTACAAAATTTGGCTGCTGCTTAACGCCTTGCTCGCAAATGTCCCAGCAATATGATTGCGGTCTGTAAATAATCGACTCTGGGTCAGGTAATCCAGCGATTGACATCATGAGCGTCGATGTGCTCAATTGAGATGCGGAGACGTGCACCAACCAAGTCAGCAAACCTACCACTCGATCCTGTTAGTCAGCGTTATCAAGACATGCTTGTGTTGCTGATGACAAATTCTAACCCTACATCTACACAGATCTTGACTTGACTGGACAAAACTCTTTCCAAAATATAATCATAAGACACGCCGAGTCCATAGTATACTATCGGTTTTTCAGGCAAACACCTGTTATAAAAAAACTATGAAAGTAGGTATTCGCGAAATCTTGTCTTATCCCCTCATCTTAAATCCGAGCACCTGAAAGGGTAATTACAAGTCCCAACCTTTAACTTATTTTGGTATGATGCCGTTGAAAGAACCAGGGAGACACTCAATCCACTTGACCACAGAGATAATTGTCATTACAGGACATTGAAGCAACGTAACGTAATTTGTTTGCTTGTGGTCCAGCTATATAGCCGCGGTCTGAAAATAATCGAGACTGGACCAAATGATCCTGTGATCAACAGCATGGGCATGGGTCTACGCAATTGGGATACAATGACAAGTTGTTAGTTTGCTTGTAGTGCAGCTACATGGCGGCGGTCTGAACATAATCCAGTCTGGTCCAAACAATCCTGTGATCAACAGCATGAGCATGGGCCTACGCAATTGGGATACAATGACATGTGTCAACCAAGTCAACGAGCCTGACCACCGAAACATGTTAGTTGCCTCTAACGCCAAGCATGGGTTGCTGAAGACCAAACCGGATTTTCACGGATAAGTTGCAAGTAAAACCGAATATTAAGAACGGAACCATGCAGTCTTTCCTATTACGTTTGCAGTGGCTGGATTCCCATGCAGATGTCCATATCCACTACATGTATGTATCATTCACCTCAAGAAGGAATATGAGTTAACTCCGAAACGTCGTGTTAAACAAAGAAGCTAATATCCACACAATATTTGACTCATGTTCATCACAACTAATATGAACTTCAAGAACTCACAAGTCCAACTGTCTTCAAAATGAATCACGGCAGCTGCGAATTATATTCAACTTTAAACCACCAAAGGAATGTGTAAGATTACAAACAAAGAGTGAACCGTTTCACACATGGACATGCCCGTGAACTGCTTTGAGCAAACGTGGATGTGGATGTTGGAAAGTCAGATTCAAACGCGCCCATGTTATTGAACAAAACTTTGCATCTTCATTTGCAGATTTACCTTCTCTTCACAATGAACAGATTGTACTCTTAGCACCTTATACAAGTGATGAACGACTCGAGTTAGAATTATATTATTTGTACAATAAATGTGTTGTCCGTTACCACAAGTGAAAGGTGATAAGCCAATACAGAAGTGAACTAGGGCCCTACAAACCTGGTTGATAGCACACTGATCCAAGAAGACAATGGACACACTCACGTATGCAGTTCTCAGTGTAGGTCTCTGTTTATGTTCTGCATTGCCACCGCCTAAAATAAAATTAGATGCTGCACACCGTAACAAAATCACCATCAACATTCCAGGTAAGAGGGAGTGATTGAATTTAATCTTACGCTTTTAGCAATATTCCGCAATATCACCAGAAATGGGACACCAGAAATGGCTTCATTTATTGTACCTATGTGGGGAATCGAAATCGGGTCTTCAGCTTGACAAGCGGTTAATCCGTTGGACTACGCCACCGCCCCTCCAGGTTTGAGATATCTGTAAAAGTTTTAAATCATGTCTTACAAGTTGTCTGTGTTCCCTGTTTGTAAACTTTAATGTTCCCTAAAATTCATAAAGATAATCAAAATCATGTTCCAGTGTGTCTTCAAATCATACCTGACAAATTATTATGTGTCTAAGATGATGTTTATTTCTCAGATGCTGCCGGTGTAGCTGATGTTGTAGTCTTATACGATTTACACCGACGAGATCGTCTGGACTACACATCTGTTCAGAGGGGCAGATTACGTCTGAAGAGAAACTGTAAGTACAATTCCTAATTCGTTTTCAAATTCTTAACACCTATCGATCTAACTGACTGACTGAGTTTGGCTTTACGCCGCTTTTAGCAATATTCCAGCAACATCACGGCTGGGGACACCAGAAATGGGCTTCACACGTTGTACCCATGTGGGGATTCGAACCCGGGTCTTCGGCGTGACGAGCCAACGCTTTAACCACTAAACTACCCCACTGCCCCCCTATCGATCTAATGTTTAGTAAAATAGTATTGAATACATGGAAACCCGTGAAGATAGAAATTATTTTAAGCAACCTATGCTATTTGTAAGAGACGATGACTGGGTTGATGCTTGGGTCTTATTTCAATTGAGTAGACTGATGCTCATAATATCAATCACTAGATTGTCTTTTCCAGCCATGATTAAGTACTTCTGCGTCATTTTGCGTCAAACAAAAGGGAATCATAATCCTCTGCTATGGATAGAGTGAGTGAGAGAGTTTATATACTGAGTCAAAAAAGAAACTTCACAAAATGTAATTTGAAAAATAATGAATACTTTTCTCTGATGATACATCTATGTATCCGAAATGGGATCCCTATCTGTCGACTCTAGAAACACGTTAGCAAAACCCACTCAAACCCATCCATTTGTCGTGCAAATGACGTTAGTGCCAAATCAGGTTTTGCACGTGCAGTCGATCACGTGATATTCGCATCGAAGTTTTCTTCATATGCACGTGTTTGCATTGGCCTCATGAATTGAAAAAACACGTTTAAACCACAGTTCTAACGGTACTTGAAATACCACGATTGTCAAATGTGCAACGTGAACGTGCCGTTGGCATGTTGCAAGCGGGAAGATCAGTTATTGACGTCGCAAGAGCAATGGAATGCAGCCGTCGTACTGTGTATGACTTGCGAGGTCGTCTACAACAAACTGGAACCACTTCTGATCGCCCAAGGTCGGGTCGTCCACATGTGACGTCACGAGCAGAGGACCGTCAAATCGTCCTACGTCACCTACGTGACAGATTTCTGCCGTCTACACGAACCAGGGCTGAGATGTTTAGAGGTCGACTGTCCTCACAGACCATTCGAAATCGGTTGCTGGCTGCCAATCTCCATTCTCGACGTCCATATCGTGGGCCAATATTGACGCCGTTTCATCAACGTCAACGTCTGCTGTGGGCCCAACGTCACCTCCGATGGACCCAGAGAGATAGGAATCGAGTCGTCTTTAGTGATGAATCCAGGTTTACCCTTAGATTCGCGGACGGCAGGCATAGAGTCTGGAGACGACGTCGTGAACGGTATGCCCAATGTTGTGTACAGGAAGTCAACAGATTCGGGGACGGAAGTTGCATGGTGTGGGGTGATTTCTGTGGGAACAACCGTTCCCGACTTCTGGTCATCCGTGGAAACCTCACAGCTGCTGCTTAGCGCGACCAGGTGCTCACCCCTGAACTCGTTCCTTTCATGGCGGCTCATGGCCCAGGTCTACAGTTCCAGCATGATAATGCTCGGCCGCAAAACGCTGGAATCAACGTCATGGACTGGCCATCGAGGTCCCCTGACCTTAATCCAATAGAGCACGTTTGGGATGCACATGGGAGAAGGCTTCGTGGTCTTAGGAACCAACCTCAGAATTTGCAGGAACTTGGCGCTGCCTTGCAAGAGCAATGGCGCAGAATCCCCAACCACGTGTTCACAAGCATCAGGCAGTCGATGAGGAGACGGTGTTTGGCAGTGGTGAATGCGCGGGGCGGCCATACACGATATTGAACTGAGAAATTTCGCATTTTTATTCTTGTGACTTGACATTCTGTATACCCATGTTTTGGAACGGCGGTGTAGCCTAATGGAACTGATTATGGCACTGTCAGTGTATCGAGTACATCACACAGATCTCAGCAATGAAATAATAACAATTTAACCATCTTACCATCTCTTGTTCTTTTATAGTGCCCTGAAGAAAGGATGTGAAGTTTATTTATCATCACATCTGCAATGTTTCAGCCATATCGAGCCGAGATCAATTAATAAGGATATTGAAGATCACTAAAACCAGATATTAAAAAATCCGTTGACGTCCGTTGACGACCCAGCATGTCGTTTAAGATAACAATACAATATAATACTATGGATAGAGGTATACATGAAACTGTCAATGTAGTACAGGTGACTTGAAATGAAGGAATCAACTTCCATCTCAGACACCGTTACCAAGGCAAGGGAACCATTATTGCACATCATTTTCTTTTGTTTCAGACGCTGGATGTTTCTTTGATGAGATTGTTAACAACATTGCACAAGGCGATGACGCTATTCTGGAATATTTAGGTTATTATTATGCAACGGATGGCAACATAATACATCGCATCCGGGATAGGTTTGTCATACCACGTAAGTTGTGGTGTACATTCACCAAATTATATTCATTATTATTATTAGAAAAGTATACTATAAAGAATGACAATATATCTAAAATACAAAGGTAAATTTACATGAATAAATTAGGGTGACCATTGCAATGAATGGCATGGTCACTCACAATTACCATGAGTTCGGGTTATGGTGTAAAGGTGATTACAGAACGTGTAATCCATGGTATATTCTGAAATAAATGCACGTACATGTATGCACATCTCGATTAGACAAGATTTCATTCATATTTCTGACATACCACTAATTAACATTCATGACTGTTCTTTCCCACTCTTCTTGAAGCGCAAGCCCCAATTACCTTGCGTGGCTTTGGGTAGTTCGTCTGTCATTAAGTATTCCTAAAGACTATTATAGGATTTTGAACAGCAAACACTGAGCACTAGTATGGGTTATACATATGTCGACATCTTTTCCGTTTCGTCCTGAACTGTAATGGCATGTTCTTTGTTCCTTAATCAGAAATTACGCCCCTTTCACCTCGTATTGTCAGAAGAGGCACCACCGTCCTCTACGACGATTTCTCCTCCAACGTCCTCGACACCAACAAGTGGTGGTTTGAAATCACGTCCCATGGGGGAGGGGTGAGTCATTCTATCCATATTCTAAAGTGCCACTGACCATTTATGAACATTTCATAGATAAATAAAAGTTATGACCGTGGGCTGACGTCACGGGTTTCCTCACTATGTTTCTGATTTCATCAGCAGCAACTTGAACTCGTGGGTTTCACTGAAGTGGTGAACGGCAACGGTCTACATCATGTTTGGCTTCATAACACATCAATCTGATCATGAAATAACTAACATACAGTTGTTTACAACGTAACATTAAACATATAGAATCACAGTTCAATTTCCAAAGGTACAAATATCATAAGTATTGTAAATATATGCCTTATCTAAACATTGCCTGATTACAGAGTGGACAGTTCCAGATGTACACACCTGATATTGCGAACACTTTCATCAGGAATGGTATTCTATACATCAAGCCGGTTTGTATACAAGCTTGTTTCAGATTTGCGAGAACAGTGTCTGGAATCATGTGTCACATACGAGGAACTTGCAAAAGTTCTTCAAAACAAACAAAATAATATTGCCAATGCTCAATATTAAACCTAATATAACTGTTTCTGGTATTGATAAATTCCTGGTTTTGGATTCGTTGGCATCAGAGAATCCAGGTGTCTCATGTTCACCGTAAGCGAGAGAAAATGGGGATTTGATGGATACAATGTGTATCCTTGCTGAGTATGTCTGTTTCTGTCTTTTTAACGCCGGACTCAACAAGTGCCAAATAAAACGATTTACAAAATCGAGTATGCACCAGACAATCCAATAATGAGCATCGATCTATGCAATTGGGATACGTTGGCATGCATTAAGCAAGTCGGTGAGCCTGACCACCTGATCCCGTTTGTCGCCTCTTACGACAAGAGCAATTGTGTATTTGGCTCGGCGACAAAGAGTGGTTGTTTTATGGCTTCAACAGCTTCTTTTCTTGTGTCTAATTTCATTATTCACCGGTCATTATGGCATTGCTGACTACCTCTGACATCATTTAAAATCCTACAGTAAATGGCTTGTGACATAAAGACTGATGTAATGATATCAACCTTCTTTAACACACAGACCTTCACTGCTGATAAATTTGGAGAACAGTTCTTACACAGCGGAAGACTTAACCTCACCAGTGAGTAAATAACTCTACATAACTTTACGTATTTTATTATGTTAAAATTAGACTATCTATTATATATTTTCTAAATCGTATTAACCTCTCTTATCCGGACACTTCCGTTCTCTCAAATACTGCCCGGATAAACGGATACCTCAATCCCTCACAAATTCAACCCTATATTATGTGTAGCATTTAGATGTGTAGGGATGAAACGTTATTTGAATATTAACACCTTTTGCTTGGTATTCCCGGGTTCGAATCCCCACATGGGCACAATGTGTGAAGCCTATTTCTGGTGTCCCCCGCCGTGATATTGCTGGAATATTGCTAAAAGCGGCGTAAAACCCTACTCACTCACTCACTCACTATTCTTTTAGAACAATGGGGTTCCTGCACTTACAGTGGACACAACGGATGCATCCGCGAAGGAAGCCTCCAAAACATACCACCAATCATGTCAGCGGAAATACATTCCAAAGTTACAATAGTTCACGGTAGAGTGGAGGTGGTGGCTCAAATCCCTAAAGGAGACTGGCTGTGGCCAGGTATGTTAATTTAGGTTAATTCACACCAATACTTTCCATTACTGTGTAGCTCTTCCGCTATCAGCTATGCAGTAAGAGTCCGCAATACAGCTGAGATAGTATTGCTGAATATCTGTTTCGTAGCGCGGTCTTATTACAAAGTTCTTCCCTAAATTTGGTCCAAAGTGATATCAGCTCTAACATGTACATGCTGAATGTAGTTACATATCCTGATTCCTAGTTTTTCATTCACAGATAAAGGAGTAAGAATATACTTCAAAACCTCGTGTTGCTTATAATAAAGAAGTTGACATCCATAAATTCTTACTTTTTATGTATATCACTTCTAAGTGCCGTTCAAAGATTTCATGTACATGTTGTTCTTCGCCTTGCCGACATTCCGAATGATATTATATAAATACAGTTATTGTTTTGAAGCAATATGGCTTCGAGCAGAATGGCCTTGGAAATATGGGAAATGGCCAGCATCGGGTGAAATTGACATCATGGAAACAAGAGGTATGTTGACGTGTTAGCTAATATTCCATATTGGTATCAAAGGCCCACTTTCAATAATAAAAGAGACCAAACCCTTCCACTGATACGCCACGCACATCATACAGGATAAGTTCTTTGTATCTATGCATAAGATATTTCGAGATGTGGTAACAGTGACGCCTTCTGACCATAGCCATTTGTGTGAAACAAAGGTTACTGTCAAGGTGTATCAGTTGGCACATTTCTGCACACAGAATATTTTGGAAAGGGGAAAGCTGAATTTTCATGTTGTGCCACCCTCACGTAAGCAATGCAATTAATTTGCAGGTAACCTCAATCTAAAAGATGACCACAATCAGGATAAGAGCGTTAACGTTGTGTCTTCAACACTGCACTGGGGGACTTCGACCACGCAGCATAAACACCACGGAGAATCTAGGTAGCGATTAGGTTGTAAGAGTTCACGAGAATGTTGATCTAATAGGTTGTAACCATTTCTAACGGGTTTTTAAGATTTATATTTTGACATGTCTCCAGAAACAGTTATGCACCACACAATTAGATTTGACATAATACTTTAAGAAGACTGACTGACTGACTGAGTTTAGTTTTACGCCGCTTTTAGCAATATTGAAGGAAAAACACGGCGGGGACACCAGAAAGGGCTTATTGTGCCCATGGGGAATCGAACGGGTCTTCGGCGTGACGAGCCAACGCTTTAACCACTAGGCTACCTCACCGCCCCACTTTAAGAAGAATACTTGAAGCAAAATTACAATTCATAAATTGTACACCAAACAAAATTTGATTCAACTTTGTTGTTTTGGGTTCTGTTCGTTTGGGCTGAGCCTTGTTCGTATGACAACTAGGCTCCCTAAATAATAATACTCAGTTGAGATTTCTTTTGATGAGACTATCTTCAAAATCCCATTATTTCAGACCAAGCACTTTCGGGACAACATGGGCTGATGATTTTCATACCTTTACATTGGACTGGAATGCAGATCACATCAGGTAATGTCATTCTTGAAGGTCACCATTTTGCACATGTCATTAAATTAGATCTGTATTATAACATCAAACTGCACCTTTGTAGTCTTAAGGTTGGATAGTAATATGTAGCATTAAAACAACATTACCCTTTGACTTTAGTTGACTGGGTACGATGACACAATCAACCAAATCCCTTAGCCTGATTACGCCCGTCGAGACAATCGTCTTGAGACTGGCATGGGTTGTTTGAAAGCTATTCAAACCCACAAATCTCACATTTATAAAATACATATTTCAGAAGATATCTGTTGTTACCCAATTTTCTGTGTAATATAATTGTCATAGAAACAGACATCGAGATCAATTAACTTTTGTTCAGTGTGACACAAAAGAAGGTTTAATCAGTACATAATACACCTGGTTTAGTTATCATCAGAAACAAGTCACAGGGTGATGTTTGTGTATTGAAAAAAATAAATTGTTTTCCAGAATGGATGTCGACCACCAGCCTATCTTAGCGTGGACAACACCACCGAAGGGATACTGGGACTATAGCCATCTGTCTGGCAACAACATCTGGGCCCATGGTGGCAAAGACGCACCTTTTGATAGCAGGGTCAGTTGTAGATCAGGACGCTTGAAAACACAGATTATTAAATACAAACAGCTGTCCAATGTTCTATAGGTGCTGACGTCTACTTTTAGTCAAGCAATGGCAATGAAATGATGTCGTATAAACCATGAAAGTAACATGTTTAATCTGTCAGTTTGACACTGTGTTAGTCTATATCCAGGAAACCAGTAGCAACGTCCTAATACGAATAATTGAAGCAAATGACAGAATCAAAGAATATCCGTATTCTCAGCTTAAGCAGGGCGAGTTGTTCAAGGCTAATGATAAAATGTTTATCTCTTAATACTATTTCCATATTCTCAACCATAGCAGGAAACGTTGTTCTGTTCTAGGCTAATGATAAACAAATGTTTATCTCTTAAAACCATTTCCATACTCTCCGCCAAAGCAGGGAAAGTTGGTCTGTTCTTGGCTTATGATAAACACATGTTGAACAAGAACACTATATTTTAACGATCTTAACAGATGTTCTCAAAGTGATTGGCGTGTCCAGTCCCAGTGATTTAGGAGAAAATGTTTCTTTTCGATTCCTAGATGGATAAATAGATGCTTTACGCCTTATAAGTCAGGCAGAGAAACCAAAGTTTTAACTGACGTCACAAAGGGATCAAACACTTCAGAACACTGATCAGCTGATTACTGATTCGATACTATTCAGATGGGTCTTATCCTCAACATTGCTGTGGGTGCTACCAATGGCTACTTCCCTGATTCCTGGCACAACATTCCCCATGGCAAGCCATGGAAGAACACCTCCCCTACTGCCATGATGGATTTCTGGAAGAACAGGCATCAGTGGCAGCCTACTTGGCACGGTGATGACGTCGCTATGAAGGTCAAGTCCGTCAAGATGATACAGTATTAGTAGCGTTCAATAAAATGCGTGAACGAAGGTGGTATTACAGTATCCACCAGCGTGGTTCATTTTCAGTAAGTGAGTGAGTGAGTTTAGTTTTACGCCGCACTCAGCAATGTTCCAGCTATATGGCGGCGGTCTGTAAATAATCGAGTCTGGACCAAACAATCAAGTGATCAACAGCATGAGCATCGATCTGCGCAATTAGGAACCGATGACATGTGTCAAACAAGCCAGCGAGCCTGACCACCCGATCCCGTTAATAATTAATAATGTCAGTAAGGAAATAATGTAATTATTATAATTTTACATATACGATGCCCGTACGGATCGGGTTAGAATTGGTCTTCAGTAACCCATGATTGTCGTAAGAGGCGACTAATGGGATCGGGTGGTCAGGCTCGCTGATTTGGTTGACACATGTCATCGGTTCCCAGTTGCGCATATCGATGCTCATGCTGTTGATCACTGGATTGTCTGGTTCAGACTGGATTATTTACAGACCGCCGCCATATAGCTGGAATATTGCTTAGTGCAGCGTTATATAGAAATTATTGAGAATTTTTTAATAATATGTTTGACTGGATTTCTAGTATAAACAACCTTGACCAGCTATCAAGTGCTTGGTTTCATTCAAGAGAGACAACTCCGTTAATCCTTTTTTTTCATTAGTTTGTGAACAGTTATCCCCCTTTGTTTACTTGCTAGCAGACGACATTTTCAGTGATCCTCAGTATGGATGATTTAGAGAAGAGGAAGTTGATTTTAGAGTATTATTACAAGGACATCAGATCAGCTAAAGTGATTCCAAGTAGAACAGGCATCCCTTTGTCCACTGTTTATCGTGTTTTGAAACATACTGCAAATGGATATGGCATTGAGCACCAGGGAGGCGCATGTAGGCCCAGAAAATTGACTGTCGGTGACAGGAGGCGGCTTGGTATTCTTGTTTCTAAAAACAAACGAAGGAGTTTAGAAAACTTAAGGCTGGATATGATTGATAGAGCAACTGTGGCTGTCTGTAAGGAGACAATTAGAACTGAGCTGCATGCAATGGGTTGGCCGAAAAGTCGAGGAATTCCATCACCGATCATGAAACCTGAATAAAGGAAGCGAAGGTTGAACTGGTGCTTACAGCATAGAAATTTTAACTGGGACAATGTGATTTTCTCAGATGAAAGTTCTGTGTTGCTGTTTCCCGATACACTGAAATTCTGGACCAAACAAACTGAAAAACCTTTGTATCAGCGCCCAAAGTACAGTCGAAATTTAAAGTGTGTGGGGGCATATCTGTGTTAGGGGCAACGCCCCTCTGTGTATTTGAAGGGAATATGAACAGTGAGCGGTACATAGATATTCTCGAGGGACATTTACTTCCATCTGCTCACGTGTTCTATGGACATTTGTGCATTTTCCAGCAGGACAACGACCCAAAACATTGTTCAAAGCATTCACAGGCCTGGTTTCGGACCCAAAATTAGATTGGCCAAGCTATAACCCTGACCTAAATCCAATAGAAAATGTTTGGGGACTTATGAAGGAAAGTGTCAATAAGAAAAATCTGACAAATATTGCTGAAATGAAAGAAGAGGTGGTCAGATATTGGGACAGCATGGACCACGACTTTCTAACTTCTTTGATCAGTAGTATGCCCCGCCGCATTGAAGCCTGCATTGCTGCCCATAGTGACTTGACAAAATACTAACTGTTCACCTGTCTTTGAATCTGGAGTTATGTTCTGCTTATATTCACATTTAAAATGTGAGTAATGAGTGCAAAAAAAAAAAATTACAATCTTTAAATTCTCAATAATTTCTGGTTGTACTGTACAACAAACCAACCAACCAGTTGGCTCAGCCTTAGCTTATTCCTTATGGATGTGTTTGCTTTTTCTGTACCTATTTCTTATGGACGTGGAGGGTGTTGGGTAGACCAGTGTTTACAACGTTCATTCGTCACGCCGAGGACCCGGGTTCGAAGCCCATTTCTGGTGTCCCCTGCTGTTGTATTGATGGAATATTGTTACACGTAAAACGGAGTAAAGACCATACACTCACTATGAATGTGCAAATTGTCGCTTATTTTAATTACAACTATAAAACAAAATAGGGGTGATGTGTTTCATCAAATTGATAACCTGACAAAGTAGTAGTGCAAGGTTAATCACCATTGGATCGAAATACTGTCCAAAGAACAAATGAACTAGTTTCGTACGTCATAGGGCGGTGGGGTAGCCCAATGGTTAAACCCGGGTTCGGTTCCCCACATGTGTACAATGTGTGAAGCCCATTTCTGGTGTCCCCTGCCGTGATAGTGCTGGACTCTTGCTAAAAGCGGCGTAAAACTAAACTCACTCGATAGTAAGTCACACGCCTGTTGCATGCCATCGTGTGTTATTTATTTCCGAAAAGTCACAAAAATTCTGTTTTCGCGTCTACACATTACTGCAACAGATAAGGTCATAGCTGATCACATCTCAATTGAAACCGTTCAGTGACAGTGTTTCTGTCTCTGTGTCAAGAAATACGGTACATTATTAAGAATGTTAAACAATTTAGTAAACAGAGATCAATTTTTGAGCACATGTTCTTCTGAATCGGCAATGCATTTTGCTGAGGTTTCTTCACGGCGGTGTAATATTTCCACAATCGCGTACCCAATCATGCCAGTTAGAAGTATTGCTATGGAAATGTACAGTTTTGTGCTGGTACAAATGTAATCGTTGTACGCATATTGTATGATGAATCCAATGGATTCCCAAAGTCGGTAGTTCGCAAACCCAGCTTCAACGTTGTCTTTGAACAGAAGGCCATACAGAGCTGCAACAGAGAGTTTGTTAATGATAATTAAGACATGAATCATCATCCAACCATACGTGCAATAGAGAGAGTATGTGAATGATAATTAAGGCACCAGTCATTATCCATAGTTGAAGTGGAGAGGATGTGGATCGTAATCAAGACAAAAGTCATCATCCACCCACACTTGCAGAATAGAGAGTATGTGAATGATAATTAAGGCAAAAGTCATCATTCATCCATACTTACAGAACAGAGAGTATGTGAATGATAATTAAGGCAAAAGTCATCATCCACCCACACCTGCAGAACAGAGGGTATGTGAATGATAATTAAGGCAAAAGTCATAGTCTACCCACACTTGCAGAATAGAGAGTATGTGAATGATAATTAAGGCAAAAGTCATCATTCATCCATACTTACAGAACAGAGAGTATGTGAATGATAATTAAGGCAAAAGTCATAATCCACCCACACCTGCAGAACAGAGGGTATGTGAATGATAATTAAGGCAAAAGTCATAATCCACCCACACTTGCAGAATAGAGAGTATGTGAATGATAATTAAGGCAAAAGTCATCATCCATCCATACCTGCAGAACAGAGAGTATGTGAATGATAATTAAGGCAAAAGTCATAATCCACCCACACCTGCAGAACAGAGAGTATGTGAATGATAATTAAGGCAAAAGTCATAATCCACCCACACCTGCAGAACAGAGAGTATGTGAATGATAATTAAGGCAAAAGTCATAATCCACCCACACCTGCAGAACAGAGGGTATGTGAATGATAATTAAGGCAAAAGTCATAATCCACCCACACCTGCAGAACGGAGAGTATGTGAATGATAATTAAGGCAAAAGTCATAATCCACCCACACCTGCAGAACAGAGAGTGTGTGAATGATAATTAAGGCAAAAGTCATCATTCATCCATAGCTGCAGTACGGAGAGTACGTGAATGATAATTAAGACATGAGTCATCAGCTATCAGTAGCTCAACATATGAGAGTATATGAATAAAGAACTCACTCGACTCTTTCCTATTTCTTTAGTTCACCTGTCACCTCATGACACGCCTTCTGTATTACTATGACGATACGGACGGTTCTTACTCTTCATAGCAGTATGTAATACAATAATGTGAAATAAGCTTCTTGTCATTCACCAACCATTGATCTGTGTCTGGACAACGGCGTCTCCCATCCCCCAGATTCCCGCGATGACGTAGTACACATACAAGCTGGTACCGTCAGGGTCCCAAAGTAGGAAAACTATTTGACACGATCCGTGAAGAACAAAAGCTGAAACAATTTTATTTGAGATTATATTCAAAGTCCTTTCCATCAGAATGCTATCAGGTTCATTTCAAAGATATACTCATGGAAACGAATAAGGGAACACATGAAAGTACAAGTGTTTCTTTATTCTTTTCCAGGTTTCTTCACAAGGTATGTATTGCACTGTGGGTGAAATTCTGGAAATAAATAAAGGAACACTTGTACTTTCATGTGTTCCCTTATTCGTTTCTATGAGTATATTTGTCTATGTTGCTGCAAGAAAGGTTTTTAAAACCTTGTGGATAATTAAAATTAATGATTATTTTTAAAAATACAAACTTCATTGGTCTCGAACACCTTATGAAAGCCTAGCAGATAATAACAACAAATAAGCAATACTAAATACACTATAAAACGCAAAAGTCATGGAATAACCATTCTGAACCGTCAAGTGATGCTTTTGGTTAAAACCGAAATGGCGGGGAAAATGTAATGGAAGAATGCGATGTGTAATGCAGTAAGTCAACAAATGCATCAGCAGCAACGTCAGTTGCATGTGTTACATATTGTATTACAAAACAAAAGCGGAAAAACAATGTCAAGATCACAAGAAATCTCTACCAACATTCACGATTAGTCCTATTCAAGCCTCAGCCCCTGAGCATGTGCTAAGGATATATAACTATCAAATAGCGAGGGCGCCAGGTTTTCGCAAAATATGTTGGGGAATCCTGCTGCTCAATGGCATCCGTGTAGGACGCCGAATACAGGTACAAACGAGGATGTGGCCATCAGTGTTCTGACGAGCTGATTTGATTGGAAACACAAAGAGTTACTCGGTATTATGACTGTCAATACCCGTGAAGATCTGTATTAGAGTTAATCTTCAGCGACCCATGCTTGTCATAAGAGACGACTAACGGGATCATGTCAGGCTCGCTGACTAAGCTGACATATGTCATCGTATCCCATTTGTGTAGATCGATGCTTATGATGTTGATCACTTGATTGTCTGGTCCCAGACTCGATTACTTACCGACCACCGCGATATATCTGGAATATTACTGAGTGCGACGTTAAACAACAAACCAGCCAGTTGGCTCAGCCTTTGCTTATCCCTTATGGATCTGTTTGCTTTTTATGTGCCTAATTCCTATGAATGTGGAGGTGTTGGGGTAGTCCAGTGGCTACAGCCTTCACTCGTCACGCCGAGGACGCAGGTGCGAGGCCCGTATCTGCGGTCCGGAATGATCAGTACGTGTGAAATTTGGAAACAACAAACAGTGAGGTGAGGTGAAATTGGGTTTAACGTCGTGCTTGAGAATATTTCGCTCATATGACGACGTGCATGCGTGTGTATGTGTATGTGCGGCTGCTTGTACTAGCCCAGACTTAGGCTGGTTTTATAGTGCTAGCCCACTGAGATACCATGCCGCAGTGAGGCATGAATACCCCACTCAGACACATTATGCTGACTCTGAGCCGACCAGTCCTTGTTGTACACATTAATGCCGAGCGCCAGGCAGGGACCAACAAGTACCATATTTTAACGTCTTTTGGTATGACGCGGTCGGGGATCGAACCCGCGACCTTCCGCTCTCCGGGCGGACGCTCTAACCACTACACCACAGAGGCGGTCAAACAACAAACAGTACTTGTGTATGTAAGAACATTTACCTAACACGAAGAAAGGTATGTGTCCAACATTTTTCACCAGCTGCCCAAACAGGAACGAGCATAAAGCATCAACGACTCCGTAGCATATCATGATGTAGCCAACGTAGTGGATGCCGAGGGTACACGTGATGAATGACTGAAATTACGGACAATATGGACAGTTATCTCAGTGGATGGAGATTATATATATAATATCCCCAAAACATATACATTCGGAAATGGAAATGGAATAGAGTTCCACTCATCATAAACATATTCCATTTCAAGACTTCCATTAAAACAATATAATCAATTGGAAATTATGAAACATAGTACCTGCTTTCAGGGGTCAGGTTAAGAACAGAACAGATAAGTTTAATAATTTGAAATCTAGAATGATTTTTGTTTCATTTACTTTGCCGTTGTTTATGAAATGTTATCTTTCTGTATTTTTCCATATAAATTGAGGGAAATGTGATGTTTTTACCACTTTTGTGGTTTTCTTTATATATTTCCAAATACTTTTTCGGTAAGAGCGAAAAGAAATATGAATGTTTGGGAATAGGATCGTATTGAAAATTGTTCCACACTAGTTTTCAAATACCCTTATTATTCACAATCATGCGATTGACGTTTTTACTGCGTGTGTTTTTCCAAAAAATCATTATATATACAATTTATACATTTCTGAATAGAAAATACTAGGAGCGATTATGCTTTAGTTGATAAAAATATGGACATAGAGATAACACACTAAGACGAAACCAAGGTGAGCTGTTTTAAAAACACTGTTTGGTTTGATTTCATGTTAACAAAAGATATGTTTTCTATTCCAAATGATCTGGTGTATCAAACAAGAAAATGTATCTTGAAACTGAACGTCTCAGTCTCAGACGATCTAATAATAACGTCAGTTACTTGACCAAACCAGTCGTTGACTCAATGTGATCTCCCAGTTAGATGTTTTCCTTTCAAAGCACCCGTGAAGAACCAGATTAGAATTGATCTTCAGTACTCAATGCTTGTTTTAAGAGGCGACTAACGGGATCGGATGGTCACGTTCGCTGACTTGGTTGACACATGTCATCGTATCCCAATTGCTTAGATCGATGCTCATCCAGTTGATCACTGGACTGTCTGGTCCAGACTCATTTAGATAGACACCGGAATGATACGTACGTGTGCAATTTGGACGACATTGGCGTGTAAGTTAAAATCTAGTCTTATCTCCAATATTTCAGCCATAGCGTGACTAAGACAGGCCTTACGTTGATAATATATAATGTAATAGCATATATAGCATCTGTACAAAGGACAGTATAACAACTAGAATATCACACGTAAGAGATTTAAAACTAGCTTGTAACTTGAAAATTATATCTCTAATTAGGACAATACAGTATAAAAATAGGCTACAAATCGCCAGCAACTGAAGGTGGATGACAAGAAGGTTGATCTACTAGGGACGATTTGTACCTTTAATACTTTTGCATGGACGACAGCTAGATTTACAACCCTGTTGGCGATTATACTCAAATTTGTTGTTCAAACGTTTGTTGGGTTGAGTCCCATCCGGGATTCGAACCCACACCCTCAGAGTCAGGCACCTAATCGCCAGCACACAAAGTCAACCGCCTAACCTGCTCAACAAATATGCTACGTTTAAAAGTTCCGGTATGCTTCGATTTACGTTGAATGTTTTGGGACTCACGTCCCCACAGGAGGACAATATTTTGGTTGAGGCTTATCACTTGTAAAGGATCTGTCCTTTCAACATATCTTATCTCCACTCACTCTGGTAAAGTCTCCCCCGATCAATGCCTGTTCGATTCCACTGTACACGGTGAGAGGTACTAGGAGTATCTGGTACCGGGACGAAATGAGGTGTTTGACGCTCGCCACCAACACCCGAGGGGACACGCGTTTGGACCCCTGATCCTTCCTGACCAGCTTCATACGATCGAGGAACAGGATGATGATGAACATCCCTGACAGAGCACAGGACACGAACACGCCACATAGTATGTAGATCTGGAAGCACAAAAGCACAGATTCAAGTCATTATGTACGAAAGCCTAATGTTGCCACTTTTGTAACATAACATTTTAATGTCTCCTTGCTTATGATGTCGGTGTTTGGGAGTATTGTCTCCTTATTTCAATTATTTTTGGTTACTTCCATTATTTTCTCGCTGCATCGAGGATTTTCTCGATACTTTACGTTTCTTTTGAAAACTTGAAATTTCGAGTATTTTGCTCATTGCTTCGAGTATTTTCTCGTTACAGCAATTATAGTTTCGTTGCTTCGATAAATGTTTGAATCAGTAATCATCAGTAATTACCAGTGATCATTAGTCATCAAACCTTAGTGTCCACGGGACGTTCTAGGTTGGTGTTGTTCGAGGCTGCAATCTGACTTGGACAAAACCTCGCTCCACAAATACGTTGTTCACTGACGGTACTGTCTGATGTGTTGCTCGTTGAATTGCTGGATGATGAAAATATGCTGAAGACTATAATGTTGCCCCAGATTTGAACTGCAGAAAAATGCCAATAACCGGCTCTGAAAACTGCTTGGAGAGTATCTATATATGGTGAGGTATTGCTTTCCAAAAGATTAGTATATCAGGGGTTTAATGGTTAAAGCCTTCGCTCGTCACCATGAAGACCGGGGTTCCATTTCCCATATGGGTACAATGTGTGAAGTCCATTTCTAGTGTTCCCCGCCGTGGTATTGCTGGAATGTTGTTAAATGCGGCGTAAAACTACCCATTCACATCTACTCTATATATGATCCATCATCCAATTTACCAGTTATTGCATAAGCAATCACCACATGTACTCTTGGGAAACAAAGATACACATATATTTTAAAACTAGTGGAAATAGTGGAAAGACTCTGATATTATGCAGTTTTTCCTGCTCTATCAAAATGTCCAAAACCACCATTTCTAAGGCTTAAATATTTCCGTTAAGATCATACGACCAACTCAACATGTCTTATAACGCTCGTTTTCATAATATTCTGAATAGTGTGTATTGACGGTTTGAGCTGACTCATTTTACCACTTGTTTTACTCACATGACTGAAAGAACATGAAGAAGACTCCGAAGAATCGGTTGAGGATGGCGTCCTCTGACTGCCCAGTCAACTTGGCGTACCAGACAGCTATAGTGGTGAGATAGGTACTCTTGGCTGACCACAGAGGACCAGCTCCTACTCCAATCAGAATCGACGCAGGAACCATTGTGGCCCACACAGGATAGAAATTGGCGGCCATGTATGCAATGTAACCTGTGATTGAAACAACCATCGACCATTTGCAACCGATATGGGCAATCAGGAATGACGGTACAAACAGACACGAAAGAATCATTGCTGCATATATGACGGCAAGGCTTCCACTGCCGATTCCACTTTCCATGTTGAGGCTGGACTGCAGATTGGCCATGCTTCCATAAGAGATGAAGAGCACGACAAAGGCTATGCTGACCACTAGTACATTCTTGATGATTTGGCGTTTGGTAAACTGAGGGTGGTCATACGTTGTGGCAGCAGGAGTACGTGTCAGTGGTCACAATTAATGAACCTGAGAAGGTTTGCAAAGAAGCCAGGTGTCAAAGATGTTGAACCTATGGAGGTGTACGTGTCAGTGGTCACAATTAATGAACCTGAGAAGGTTTGCAAGCCAGGTGTCAAAGATGTTGAACCTATGGAGGTGTACGTGTCAGTGGTCACAATTAATGAACCTGAGAAGGTTTGCAAGCCAGGTGTCAAAGATGTTGAACCTATGGAGGTGTACGTGTCAGTGGTCAATTAATTAATGAACCTGAGAAGGTTTGCAAGCCAGGTGTCAAAGATGTTGAACGTGGAGGTGTACGTGTCAGTGGTGTCAGTGGTCACAGTGGTCACAATTAATGAACCTGAGAAGGTTTGCAAGCCAGGTGTCAAAGATGTTGAACCTATGGAGGTGTACGTGTCAGTGGTCACAATTAATGAACCTGAGAAGGTTTGCAAGCCAGGTGTCAAAGATGTTGAACCTATGGAGGTGTACGTGTCAGTGGTCACAATTAATGAACTGAGAAGGTTTGCAAGCCAGGTGTCAAAGATGTTGAACCTATGGAGGTGTACGTGTCAGTGGTGTCAAACCTGAGAAGGTTTGAACCAGGTGTCAAAGATGTTGGACGTGTACGTGTCAGTGGTCACAATTAATGAACCTGAGAAGGTTTGCAAGCCAGGTGTCAAAGATGTTGAACCTATGGAGGTGTACGTGTCAGTGGTCACAATTAATGAACCTGAGAAGGTTTGCAAGCCAGGTGTCAAAGATGTTGAACCTATGGAGGTGTACGTGTCAGTGGTCACAATTAATGAACCTGAGAAAGGCAAGCCAGGTGTCAAAGATGTTGAACCTATGGAGGTGTACGTGTCAGTGGTCACAATTAATGAACCTGAGAAGGTTTGGAAGCCAGGTGTCAAAGATGTTGGACGTGTACGTGTCTGTGGTCACAATTAATGAACCTGAGAAGGTTTGCAAGCCAGGTGTCAAAGATGTTGAACCTATGGAGGTGTACGTGTCAGTGGTCACAATTAATGAACCTGAGAAGGTTTGCAAGCCAGGTGTCAAAGATGTTGAACCTATGGAGGTGTACGTGTCAGTGGTCACAATTAATGAACCTGAGAAGGTTTGCAAGCCAGGTGTCAAAGATGTTGAACATATGAGGTGTACGTGTCAGTGGTCACAATTAATGAACCTGACAAGGTTTGCATGTCAGTAATCACAATAAATGAACCTGTGGACGTTTACATGTCAGTGGTCACAATTCATGCGGAGATCAATGTTCATGATATTGATCACTGGCCCTGACTATATTATTTACATACCGACACCATATTGCTAGCATGTTGCTGAGTGCGGCATTAAACAACAACCGATATTATAGAGCATGAAAAAAATCTGTTCATTGTAAACCTCAGATAAGAAGACATTTCAACAAGAATAAGTAAGGGCAAATTCAAGCAATCATATTTTATGAAGAGGTCTTGTAATAATTATGTAATGCATTACACACTACTGAGTTCTAACACCGTTCACTTTCCACATATTATATCTGCTTACCAGAGTATATGATTCAACCTGCTTGTCACTGCCTTCAGCTTTCATGATTACCACTGCCTCTATCTCCACTGTCTGTATGGAGAGTGTACACCGATCTCAAACGTATAATTGACTGAATGCGTAAATCAACCTTGCCCTAATTAAAGCGTATGACTGTGCGAGTGAAGAGAAAATATATTAACCCGCTTCAGCAATGTCACAGTAATTCGTTGTTACCATGCATAAGTATGGCATTGGTACATAATGATTTTTTTTAAAATGGATTTGTCTGTCAGCAAGTTTGGGAAATGTTGCATTTATTTGTGTACGATTGTGTACATGTGTCTATATATTCCTAAACCTCATTTTGGTGTCCAGTGAGAAATGTTGGCCATGTTAAATTCCGGATAACATGCTTAGGCACATACAGACAGTATTTGAATATGTAGAAGCACATTCGTCCAAGCTCAATATCAAGCATAACACGAAATGGAATAACCGATGGGCGTAGTAGCCAAAGTAGCGTTGAAAACTATGTGGAATGAAAATGCGTGATGACACCAGGTGTTCACGAATAAGGAAAGCATGACCTTCCTGCAGGTAACAAGCACTACATATGCAGTTTAACAATCATCACTTGTTATCATGAATACTCTTGACCCATTTGCCATCTTAACACCCTTTTCGATATGTTACCCCAAGTTAAAGGCAGAAATGATGAGCGATTGAGTGAGTTTAGGTTTTCGCCGCACACATTAACATGCCAGATATATGGCGGCGGTCTGTAAATAATCGAGTCTGGACCACAAAGTCCAGTGGATACGATGTCATGTGTCAACCAAGTCAACGTGGAAGATCAACCGATTCCGTTAGTTGCCTCTTGCGACAAGCATGGGTTGCTTAAAACCAATTCTAACACGGATCGTCACGGGTCACACCCAGATGTAAATATGTAAATATGTATCGAACCCGGGTCTTCGGCGTGACGAGACAACGCTTTTACCACCAGGCTATCCCATCGCCCCTCATCACCAGAGAATTTAAATACTGGGTTTTTTTTGTTTTTGGTTTTGTTTTGTTTTGTTTTTTAAATATTTTTATTCATTTCAGATAGGTATACAAAGACAGGGAGTACACAACTCCATGTTAAGACTGGTTACATATTGGCAACAAAGAGTTACAAATTTTCAAAGTAAGAAAATATAGTTACTAGTATACAATGTCAGGGAGTGCACGACTCCAGCAGCAACTTTATGGGTTACAGGCATGCTCGAGCTAGTTATACATCAGCAACAAAGATTTACCAATTTCGAAATGTGGAAACATAGGTACATAAAGTCAGGGAGTGAACCACTCAAGCAACAGACTCCACGGGTTACAGGTATGTTTTAATTATACATCAGCAACAAGATTGACTAATTTCGAAATGTGAAAACATAGGTACACAAAGTCAGGGAGTGCACCACTCCAGTAACAGACTCCATTAAAATATTGTTGGTGTTCTTTTATGTCTGATTATTGCGCCATCAAGTGTTCCTGTGTGTTGTATCGCACTATCAGATATTGTACATTCACCTGACATGACACAGACATGTCTACAAGTATATCTTTATGCATCACTCACGATACATGATTCGTCATAAAACATCAATATCGAAGAAGAAGAAGATTTCGAAGAAGTTTATTCAGTAGTATTTGGGTCATAAGGCCTATCATACAGTTGACAGATACAATATAATTCCACGTGATCATAAACATTTTAGCTTCATATAGATCTTATTTTGAATATTTCATTGAGGTAGATCGCTGTTAGGTGCTGTACATTATTGTTTTGTGGCATGACAATTGCCTTAATGGTTATAGGGCCTGTGTAGACTGATCGTAGCTGATCATCTTTCAGTGATGTAACATCAATATCATTTACTCTCAAGAAAGCGAATTCTGACTCGAGATTCCCATATTATTCTAAAGAAATACAAACTGTATGGGCTTTTAAACATCTAGGTACACCATTGTCTGTTGATAGTAAATGATATTAATTATCTGATAAAATCACAACAACAATGTTAATTCCTTGTGAACAGTAAAGTATTTTTGTTAAATAAAAAGACATATACTATCTTTTCCCAACCATGAACATACTTGCGAGCTATGTGATGTGTTTTTATCAGAGCTACCCAAAATGATGAAACCCAATTAGAGAAAGCTCGTTCCATTCATAGGTTTGCTGAAAAATGCCTCAAGATGCTGTCTCTTTTGAAATAGGTGTAGACTTGTAGACAACAAAGTATCGCAAAATCTAATAATTTTACAAAATTAACCCCTTGTTAATTGTGTGGTCGTATGGCAAATACAGTTGGTGAAATATCTAGGTAGATATTAAAAATTGCATATCATAGTATAATATTAGTTTACCTGTCTGCCTGTCTCTGTATGTATAATCTGTTTGTGTATCTGTATGTGTTTGTGTGGTACCGATTTCGATTACAAGCTTAGAATCTTGACACATGTTGATTCATAGTGTAACATGGAAGTCGTTCCCGTTTAGCCAATTCTTTTCTTACAGACTCAGATATTATATACATCAATGAGTTGTTTGTTTACAGCATGATATTCGGCCCTCAAGTCCACCTGACCACATTGATCACGTGACCGAACCGTGTCACATGACGCACGCACGACCAGTAACCAGGAAGGGAAACGCCTCAAGAGAGCGAGAGAGAGAGAAGCTGACGCTGTGACATCGAGTGTGTTCATTCCAGGTAAGAGACAAGGCATACGGATAAACAATCACACAATAACCAAATGACATTCAATTTCACAATTTCTAAACTTTGAATTCCCATTAATACATTGCACCTTTCAAAAACCGAATGGTATATTATTATACCAACAATTCTCAAATCGTTCATATCATATGTCAAACTTTCAATTTGAGATTAAGAAATACTAACACAATGCACGTGATCTGTTATGGTCATTATGGAGGTGGGTTATGATAATAACACATCATTTATGAAATGATTCACCATCTAGAACACTGATATCACAATTGACCTAAATAGTAGGTGAGCAAGGTGTGTTGTGTTATATGAACGTGACTCCGAGGTCACAATGACCTGACAAAGCGAACGTTGGGACTTGTTATCTATTGAACCTGTAATGCAGGGTGAATTGTTTCAGTGTGTACAATAGTGTTCAGGGTGTGGGGTTCATATGTATGTCTGCGCATTTCGTCCACACAAAGCAATCAAATACTCCTCATTTGTTTCTCCGATTTTCAACGGCAAATACGTGCAATTCAGTACCATTAGTGGTAGTAGAAGTTTTTACAGGCCATTTTCATCACATTTGCTGTAAAACTAACCGTAACTAGAAAATACATTTCCTGAATTGAGTTATGCCTTAAGTCCAGATCATCAGGAAATCCAATGTCAAAAAGGCAAAAGGCAATTTGGAGAAAATTAAGAATGAAAAACAACAAAAGAATAGATATTTCTCCATATTGATGATCCCTTAAGGCAAAACTATCTGTTTGGACTGAAAGAAAGAAAAATAGGAAAAGAAAAATAATAAGCTCTTTAGAAATAACGAAAAGCACTTTCACAGACAACTGAAAACGACGGGTGATGGTCAGCATGATAAACGACCTTCCACGGATGCCAATGAAAGATTCTGAAAACACTTATGGTCTGTACCTGGCGACTGTACCCTTCAGGCACCATGTTTCCGTGATTTATGATCATGCAATGCGTGAGAAAATACCTGGCTCGTTTGTCTGCTAAATCTCACCAGATTGCCTAAAAAGTGTTATAAAATGTTCAAATCTAATAGTCAAACACATTTCTGGTGTCCACTGCCGTTATATTGCAGGAATATACTAAAAGCCTTATAAAACTAAGCACACTCACGAACCTCCAAATCAAATACAGTACCAGGGTTCGGATGGTATTCGAAATCGGGGGATTCCCTTAGTCCTTTGCTTTTGCTTTTTATCTTTGTCTTTAAATCCTTTGAGCTTTCTGCACAGATGTCCAACACCACTTATTATCTCCTTTGCATGGATGACGTCGAGCAGCCTGCCAAAGGACATACCAGTTTGAAAGAACAGGTTCTCTTTGTCGAGTCCAATCTAATGATATTGGCATGACATTTGAACTCAACAAATGTAATACTCTGCATCTGAAACGTGGAAAGGTAATCTTCATGATACAATTCTATTGTGTATTTTGCACAAATATATTTATCGGATGATCATCTGGTCAAGCATGTCAAGACAACAAGAGATTCTACACGTATTTAACGCCGGCAAAAGGTTGGTGGACAGATTCAGAAATTTGAGGTTGATTTGTTTCTGGCGAAGTCCTTCAATAAGTCTGCCCAGAATCCACCATTGGTGGAGAAAGTCATCGCATAATGTGTACATGCAGTGTGTGAAACTGAACAGTAATCCAACGGACTCTTACGCCTGGATGAAGTTGGCTGGTGTTTAAAGTGAAAATGAGGGCTTCCTTTTTGCTGGTCATTACCAGTCACTTCCCACTCGCCATCGCCAAACTGTGATTCTTAAACACAATATCAATATGAAATGTCGACTTTACAATGAATTTAAAGAGACTGTCCAACACCTTGTCTGTGAATGCTCTTTCTTGGAACAAACAGGATATCTTAAGACATGATGGCATGGGCACCCGTGAAGAGCCACCTCCTCGTGGTGGGTACTGGGTAACGCTAAGAGCTCTTCAACCCCCCGTTGTGGACCCGGGGGCATATTTGGTCCACAGCACCCCATTGCTGGTCGTAAGACGGAATTGGGCAACCTGTTTGCCTCGGGTTGCGCCCTTGTGTCGGTGGAGGACGGGAGGCTGCTGGTGGTTGAGGGGACTGGTTCCAGGAACAGTGTTCCTTTGCCCAACACACCACTTCGCCCCTTACTTCACCCAGACGGGTGGTTGAATGGGCCAGGTTCAATCAATCGGCTGGTTACGCCACGCCCTGTGTGTGCTACTGTTGCACAAAATTTTGGCGAATTTTTATCTCAAAATTTCAAATACACTATTTCATGTATGTTTTTGCCGGGTTTTTTTTAGAGTCGTATGCCCAGAAGGCGGTGTCTCATGGGCCAATCTGGTGGAATCATTTTGTCTTATTTTTTTCTGCTGGAGTATATCATCCGGGTATCCTTGGTGCTGCAAGTCGGAGACCCGCTTGTTCTCAGCATTGTCCTTGTCATACTCTGTGGTGGGTCGGGAGCTCGGATGATGAAATCTCTACACTAAACATGGCTTATGAAACCCCCATCAAAAACAAAACGTCCTCTTGAAAATGATCCTGATGATGATGACCTTAGACCGTGCAAATCAATTGACTTTTGGTCACGCTTTCTTGTGATTGAAGCTGTCGACAAAACATCATTAAAGTTGAACCCTATACCTCACAGTTTCCAAGGGTATTCAAGGTATCGCTGGCGAAGTTAAGAACATTAAACGGTTACGTTCAGGTGAGATACTGGTTGAGTGCGGGAAACGGAAGCAATCAGCCAATCTGTTGAGCACTGAATCGTTCGTCGGCATTCCGGTCGCTGTCTGTGTTCACAAGACATTAAACACAAGCAAAGGTATCATCAGAGAGCGTGATCGGCTGTTTTCTGACATGTCAGAACTTGACATCGTGACTGAAATGAAAGATCAAGGTGTACTCTGCCTAAAACGCTTTTCAACCCGTAAAAACAATGAAACTGTTAAAACCAATACTTATCTGTTTTCCTTTCGTCACCAACTGCTCCCAAATCACTGAAGGCAGGTTACTGCAATGTTAATGTTGATACCTACATTCCTAATCCGCTCAGATGCTTTAAATGCCAGAAGTATGGCCATGGTGTAAATACTTGCACATTGTCCGTTGTGTGTGCTCACTGTGGTGAGAAGACACACACAACTGAAGATTGTACAAGTGCCTTTAAAAAATGCACCAACTGTTCAGGAGAACATTCATTTTTCTCAAAAGAGTGTCCGATTTGGAAAGAACAAATGCAGATCAACAAGATCAAATTTACCCAAAACATCAGTTTTTCTGATGCCAAAAAACTGAACTTCCAGAAAAGATCTGAACTTCCAGAAAGTTATGCTTCAAATGCAGGCACGCACTTTGCCAGTATTATACATTCATGTTGACAACCAGGTTTAGAATCAAAACTGTAACTGGAAATGCACATCAATGCTACAACTTAAAAAAACACAATAAAACCATTGAGAATCACACAGTTAACGTATCCGATCAGGTTTAGTGAACGTATCTGATATCATTTCAAACATTAACAATTTCAATGCAACATGAACAAAAGACCAAATGAAACATAAAATAAGGCTAAAGTTAATACTGGGATATCTTTGATTCAACAACTTCTAGTGTCTGTTTTGTTTTCCCTTCCTTTACTGGTTTTGTCTGTCCCTACACTTCTGACTGTATAATCTATTATTCTCTCTAACCTGTTTCTGTTTCTTTGTAGCCAGTTGAGTTTTAGAGTTCTATGACTTGGTCCGCACTCGTTCTTTCTCTAGATATTTCTTATCATTCATTTTTTTACGTTCTCTTGATACTGGGCACACGTCCTGCTCATTTTCTGAAATGTGTTTAACATTGTACATTAGTAACAACTATCTAACTTACAATGTAAAATTGGGGCGGCGGGATTGCCTAATGGTTAAAGCGTTGGCTCATCACGCCGAAGACCCGGGTACGAATCCCCACATGGGCACAATGTGTGAAGCCCATTTCTGGTGTCCCCCGCCGTGATGTTGCTGGAATATTGCTAAAAGCTGCGTAAAACCAAACTCAGTCGGTCACGCAATGTAAAATTCATAATAATGATGGGGGTTATGGGTAAATGGAAATTTGAAAACGTTACTGTGCGTCATTGAATAATTGTTTGTTGAGATGTGTTTAATCCATGTCAGAATATAACAATTTCGTCAAATACGTTAATCAATTTTATCAGATACGTTAAATACATTATCAGTCTATATGTTACAGCTAGAAACCAGACCATACCTTTATTCTGTTGGTATCACTAAAACATGCATCATACCTATTGCTTGAGTGATTCAATGCACAACAATTCTTTAAACCGATCGTTTAATCATATCAAATACGTTAACGCCAAATACGATACGTTAAATACATAACTCAACGAATGCAGCGAGTTTGTCGAAGTTTTTGTATTCTTATATATGTGGGTCCATAGATGCACATTTATGGAATACAATTCATACAAAGCTATAAATTAACTACAAGTGTATGTGATTTCAAACTTCACTTACCAGTGTCGGCTCACAAATCCTCAGCGATCGTCGTCAAATTGAGATCCGTCTCGCCAAAAACAATGGGCGGAAGGAGCGTGCTCTTGTATCAGCGTTATAATTATATGAAACTAAGATAAGAATGCACTGGAACACAAACTCTGCATGCTATTACACGTATCTGACGAAAACGCAAAATTCGGCCTACAGTTTGATTGAAGTTTATCTCGTTTAGTTTCACACACGTCTGTGATACTGCTGTCACATGTGGTTAAAAAACAATTTTGTTTAGAAAGTACTACTCCCTCTCAGTTGCAGATGACGACTTCACGTATCTGATGAAAAATGAAGGCACGACCACATGTATCTTTTCAAGTTAACTTTAGAAAAGAAAAAGCTCATAACTGTTTTACAGATTGAGATAACTGGAAACAAATGCACTCGTACAACTTGTTGTAGGATTTTGAATAAGTATAACTGGTCCATGACTAAACTGCTTAACGTATCTGACGACAATATTGGGACACAAAAATAATTCAATTTTTGGGGAAACAAAGTTTACTTATGACTACATCGTATTTCCTTTATGACTTTGCAAGTACTTAGATACATTTTCAAGTCCAATGAGATAGCATATTTACACAAATGGTTGCATTACGTGGAATTGGTATCAGGTACTTGCAGGAGGGACAAAGGAAATATGTAACAAAGTTCTATATCATGATGCGGTGTATAACAAAATTGCTGACACAAACACTGACGTGACATGAATTGTGATACTGTATGTGCGGGCCTGTTTTAGTAAGAAGAAAAATACATTTCAATGACAAAATATTTTATGAGACGACAGGGACAATGAAATATGGGAAATGTGCGTTTAGCGGAGAATCAATGTATTTAAGGCACGGCGTACCTTCAAGCAATGTACACGTCAGTCTTGGCGAAATTATGTGTCCAAAATAAATTCACGAACGCCGATATCAAAGGTATGGAACATGATCCAGAAAATATAAGGTAAGGGATCTCAACCTAGCATTAAGTATCTCAAAGACGGAGACGAATTATTAGATAGTAACTTTGATATTGTAAATAAACCTGGAGAAACCTTGGCCAAACACTCTTCCTCACTGAATTATGTACGTAAATTCCAACAACATAAAAATAACAGGAAAAGAAAACTATCAATTTCAATTCAGATAATGGGGAAGATTACAATGAAATATTTACTATTCATGAACTTCATACTGCTCTTGACCAAGCTCACGATACTGCTACAGGAGCTGATGACATCCATTCTCAACTTCTGAAGCATTTACCGGAATCATGTTTAGAGACCCTTTCGAATATTATTGATGATATTTGGACATGTGGAAAATGTCCTCAAATGCAGTTGTGTTTAAACAAAATAGATAATTAGTGTCTTCAAAATCGAAAACTAATTGTATACATTTCTGCCGTAAATACAAACCTCATAAAGACCCGGAACTATTTGTAAATGGCACTCCCATCAAAGTTGTCAAGGAGGCCAAGTTCTTGGGTCTAATTTTTGACTCCCACCTAACGTTTCTGCCACATAGTAAATCCCTTAAAACCAAATGCCTGAAGGCACTTGACTTGTTGAAAGTTGTTGCCAATTCTAAGTGGGGAGGGGACCCAACTACCCTCCTACACTCATACAGATCACTCATTCGATCAAAACTTGATGATGGTTCCATCATATATGGTTCAGCCTGTAAAAGCAACCTTAAACTTCTTGATTCTATTCATCACCAAGGTTTAAGACTTTGTCTTGGATCTTTCAGAACTTCTCCTATTGACAGTATTTACGTTGAAGCTGACGAGCCTTCTCTTAGCCAACGCCGTCTGACATTATATTTACAATATATCACTAAGCTATATTCTAGTCAGTCGAACCCTGCATATAACTGTGTCTTTAATCCCCTCTATGATGATCTGTATAACAAGAAGTCTTTTCTTGTTCCGCCTCTTGGGCTCCGACTTAAACCATTCATCTCTGCTGCCGGTCTTGAGCTGGAAAATATATCTCTTTCTTCTCCTCCTTGGCAATTAGTGATGCGACACGTTGACTTAACATTAACCACATTTACAAGATCAGAAACTAATGAATTACAGTATAAACAAGAATTTAGTCAATTTAAAAATAAACATAGTACATACAAATTCGTATTTACAGATGGGTCCAAGGATGGCGGTGCAGTAGCTTGTGCCACTGTCATTGGATCCAGAACAATATCTTCTGGATCGCCTGATAACAGTTCTATTTTCACAGCAATAGACATCCCAAATATAAACAATATATCATATTTTCAGATTCTCATACTTGCCTTCAGGTTATAAACAACATTCTTGTAAACATCCACTTTTAATTGAAATAATTGAATTGTATAATGATCTTGCAACTGGCCAATACGACATCGTCTTTTGTTGGTTACCCAGCCACGTTGGCATTTCTGGGAAAACAATGGCCGATCTTGCTGCCAAGGCAGCACTCAACAAATCTTTGACACTACTTTTTATTCCTTACTCTAATTACAAAGCTACCATTAGAACTTACATCCGTGATCTGATGCAGAATAAGTGGGACACCCAGGTAGGTGTCAATAAATTACATGCAATAAAACCTTATATTGGTTACACCTAATTGGGTTGTCAGTCCAGATTTGAGGAGGTCATTATGCGACGATGTCGCATTGGTCATACGCGTTATACTCACAAATACCTGTTAAAAGGTGAAGATCCTCGGTTTTGTATCCCTTGTGATGAGAGAACCACGACAGAACCACGGTCAAGCATGTACTGCTTGACTGGTTTGAATTTTCCATCATAAGGGATAAATATTTCATAGTCAAAACTGTTAAGGATCTTATTAATACTGTCAATTATCATTTTATTATCGAATTTTAAAAATAAATAGAGCTTATAGATGAATTTTGATTCATCTGTTTTTTTTATATACATGCATTTTTAGTATTAGTGATTTATATGAGAAACTTAATTTGTGAGTGGCTGTACCTTCGAAGGGGGGTTTACGTAGCGTAAAAATAGTGTCCTCCTGAGAGGGTACGTACGTTCCAAAACATTTCAAGTAAATTTAATAAGACTACCAGGTTTTTAATCGTAGAATTTTTGTCATTTTAATGTATGGCTAAATTTCAGCATAAACACCAATGACTGAAGGGATGGTGTAAAGCCAGCTAGGGTCGATGCAGGTAGCTAAGGTACTGTAGGTCCCCATGGTCCCTAGTATGGTGATCGTCCTTTAGTTGTTGGCGATTACTAGCCCATTTATACATTGTATTGTCCAAAAATAGTTATAATGTAGTAATTTTACTGTCTTTCGTTGATAGGGTTTTATATATTATATGTATGTATTATGAATTTCAACTACTTTTAGTCACGATATGGCTGCAATATTGCCGATGTGACTTTCAATTTTAACTCACTCACTCACTCACATGATGGCATGGCTCGCTGATTCTACATTCGTCTTTGTCATGTATGTTCCTTTGACTCCGAGGTCCATCCATGGTACGACCCTGAATATGTCCAGAACGTCATGGAAAATTATGCTTTTAAAGTTCGCTGGAATAGGCCTATATACAGTCTAAAAAGAATTCCAACCAGAACCCTGATCTTGTGCTTGTTGATAAAGCCAATGAATTTATTTCTAATGATCATATATCTGTCCCTTTTGACAGTGACGTGATTGGCAAGATTCAGGAAAAGCATGCTAAATATGCGCACTTCTCCTTGGAAATGTCTCCAAGGGCAGATCAGGAGAGTTGGTACTGGGTAATGACGCACTGGGTATTGCAGAAGGCTGCAGTGTAGGGGAGTCTACATGTTCTCCAGAAAGTCCCATTCACTGTCTGGGCTGCCTGTAGAGGGGCAAACGGCCCTGAGCTGAAGAGGAGCCTTACCAGCCTGGCCCTGAGCTGATGAGGAGCCTTACCAGCCTGACTGTGTCAGGATCAACCGAACCCTCATAACTGCATTTTCATTTCAGTCTGTAAAACATAGTAGTAGTAGTAGTAGTAGTAGTAGTAGTAGTAGTAGTAGTAGTAGTAGTAGTAGTAGTAGTAGTAGTAGTAGTAGTAGTAGCAGTAGTAGTAGTAGTCAGCATGTTTATACTGTGAAAAACCTGAAGTAAATGCATTTTCTTCATTACATGGCTATACATTCACAGACACTATGAAATTCTTTATCCTAAAAATTACAATCCAAATGTTTATTTGAATACTAGTCGATTTGGATAGTCCTGTTAGCAGCACAAAAAATCTATTTTCAAACACTATGCCCTGTGTTATGAGAGTGTGTTTTTGTAATTTGTAATATCACATTGCTTAAGTGATAGTTATTATGGGTCACGATGTTTATAAGTTTTGAGTGTGAGTTTTGGCTCGCATCTTGCATCATATATGTTCAATGGCTTTGATTTTTAGCAGTACGCCTTTTGAGATAGCACTTCAGAATTACCTGTCCTTGACAATCTTTTGTATTTGTTTTGACTTCCGGCTTTCATCATGTCGTGTTTTCGAGAAAATCTTGTTACGTTCTGCAAGGGTAATGATGCAGCCTAGCATTGCTAAAAGGCTCGAGACCTATGTAAGAGCTATATAAAGGCTGGTTGTAGAGTTGTGCAGGGGGGACTAACACATGACTGGATTTATACATATCTGTCTGTTATCATCAAGTTGATCAACGTTTCAAGACCGACCATGCTTGTCTATTCAATTGCTGTCATTGTTAACAACCTTCAATCAGTATATATGTGCTCAGTGTAATGTCAAGACTCTGGTGAGTTACCATTTTATATTTGTGACTCAATTGCATTGTACTAGAAATCTGTATTGTCATTCATTGTAGCTGGCTCATTGTTTGTTCCCTACATTGTTTGTTCAATATATTATTGAATGTTTTAGACTTGTCTGTGTACTATTTTGCTCTTTTGACTCTTAAACCTTTTGTCACGGCAAATCATTACCCGTAACACCTGTATGCGAATATATATCAGAAAACATCTTTTTTGTTTTACAAATATGCACATTGACAGTTAACAAGATACAGAATCATTTTCAGTAATTACACAGTGTCTTGCTTTGTTTTAGGGGAATGACTTCTTCTCATCTTTTTAGATGGCGACTGAAAAGAAGCTGAAGGACAACCACCTGACCTGTGTCATCTGTACAGAGGTGTATACAGATCCTGCGACACTTCAGTGTAATCACACATTCTGTAAGTCCTGTCTGCTGAAATACACCAAAACACAGTCTGAAGCAACACATGCCAGGTCCATCCCATGCCCCTCCTGTAGACAACAGACAAAGATGACCAACCCTGACAGTCCAGTAGAGGAGTGGGTCAGTCATCTGAAACCAAACCATGTCATACAGAGTCTGATGGACGATTTTGGACCAGGGACAGAAGGTAATTGTTTGTATGTTACATGGTCATTTAACTCCAGATAATTTTGATAGCATACGCCTTTTTGCAAGGTAGCATGCAGGGATCAGGGTTGTTCAAAGTTGTTTACACCTACATTGTATAGGCGCGAAAAAAGTCAGTTCGTAACGTTGTATTTGATTTAGAAATGTTAAAGCGAAATAGCAGCAAGTTGGCCAGAATTTCATCAAGTAGTCTATTCTGTACATCAAAACAGAGGGCGGAAAATGTATTGTATAATGCATGCAAGACACGAGATTTGGCAACCCATGCTTGCAAAAGACAATTATTGATGTTCATAGTGTCAGTTATAATCAAACACCGAAATAAAATGACTGATGAGTGCTTACAGTCAAATACCTGTGTAAACAGACAACAACAATATAATACTGATTTCATGGCTGCTTAACAAGTATCCCGATTCTCTTCAGCCTCGGAGACAGGAGAACGCAGTGTCTGTAGGAACCAACAAAAGAAGACTCCAGCAACATCATGGTGCTCCTCTTGCGACTCCTCCTTCTGTGATGACTGCTTGACCTTGCTTGGAGCGATGCCATTTTCTCGTGACCATGAAGTTGTCGTTTTATCTGAATCCACCAAATTCAAAATGACACCAAAGTGTTCATTCATGTGCAAACATCATCTCAGCAAACAGATCGACCTCTTCTACAAATACTACAGACCAGCACCAAGAAGGGTTGTATTCACACACGATATGGTAAAAGTAGCTAAAGGAGTTGATGAACTTTATCTGGGCGATGCTGAAGCCGTCCAAGAAGTGTGTGATCGTGAATCTGTCCCTACCTTGTATCAAACCATTCACTGTAAGAAAGTGCATGGCATGGCGCATCCAATGTTTAAGGACATAACAGCATTGGCTGTTGATGGTATAAAGGTTGCTGTGGTTGTTGATTATATTAACAAGGGACTTTTCACATATTACACACATGACAGACATGGTCCTAAATACATTAAGCTTTCTGCCGGTCCTTGCACAATAATACAGTTAACTAAATGGCACGTAGCTGTTACTGTTCCATACAGTAATGAAATAGTTATTGTGAAGGTTTACCCAGAGCCTGTAATACTGTCCACTATCAAAACAAACCGATCTTACTACGGTCTAGCCTGTCTGAGTCCTTCGCGGCTGGTGGCAGGTGGAATAGAGAGGACTGATATACTTGACATGGAAGGGAATGTGCTGAAATCTATCAACACAGGGAAGGTATCTAGTCCCGACTATATCCATGTCACCGGAAATCGGAACCTGATAGTCAGTGAAGAGAAAAATAAATCGCTTGTATCTGTGACAAGTGACGGACAAGTTGTTTTCACCTGCCCTCCCACAGGAGACTGTGCTCTGAAATATCCTCAAGGCATCACAACAACCAGCACTGGAGACATCCTGGTTGTAGACAGAGACTCTCACAAGGTGATTCAGCTGACAGAGTCAGGGGAGTTTGTCAGAGACGTTCTCACTGCACGGGATGGTATTGATTCTCCCCGTGGAATATGTTTGGACACAGACGGCCTGTTGTACATAACCTGCCATAACTGTTGGAAAATATTCAGATTTTAAAACTTTCATTTTGAAAACTGAAAGTGCTTCAACCTTTGCCTGTGTGTTTTTCAAAGAAAGCCCAACAGAGAAAGTGTTTTGAATGTATGTTTGCTTATGGCATATGTGAATGTGAGTACCCGTGTAATGTGATACAAAGTTTGCGGCGTCGTATTCCGGCTGAAACAGAAGACTGTAAGGCGTCGTATATGAAATCAGAAATGATGCAAATACGAACTACAGTGGTAAGACACAGAGACTTACACTGAGAAATATATATCATTGATGTATCTTAGTTGCTTTATGTAAATATTTATGTAAATATTTGTGAAGTAGTTAGATTCTTATAAGAAAGTACAGCCAGTGATTTCCCTTTCCTCTCTCTCCCTCTCTCTTCCCCCTCTCTCTCTCTCTCTCTCTCTCTCTCTCTCTCTCTCTTCTCTCTCATTGAGTGCGCTTATATACTACTGAAATAAAGTAACAGTGCAATATTTGATGTTATGCCATTTGGTAATGCAAAAAGTCAACATTGTTAACTAGATTTGTGGGGTTTTCCTTGGTCAACGTTTAACTGTAGACAGTTGAGATGTAGTGTCAAAAGTTGGAGTTGACGTTTCACCAAACTGTGGGTGCTGTCGCCAATCTTGTCACCTGTACCATAGATGCTGTCTGCACTAGGTGAAACGGCCGGTCGGTGACGTTGGAGCAAAATTGGATGTACTGCAGGCCGACGGTCCCGGATCTTGTTCTCCCTCAGTCGGTTCCGAACATTCCTGGAATAGATGGGATGTGAGCCAGGAATGGCCCGAGCAGTTAAACTGGCATTCTGGAAGCGATTCCTTAGATGGGTGAGCTGAGTGTGGTTGTCTTGCTGCTTCACGCGTGGACTATCAGTTTGTCTTCCATTCCGCATAACCGGATAACGACCGAAACATGCATAGGTTTTCCTCCCACATTCACCTTATACTTGAATCCTCAATCACTCTGGAAATACTGCGGATATTTAGCATAATCTTACCTTCATGTAAATACTTTAATTTCATTGGTCAATGACGCTTTAACAAGTTTCCGTGGTGACAACTGGAAAAAATATTACCCGATGCCACGGTACCCGCCAAGCTCTCTGCCGAGAAGCTGAAGCGCTAACAATCGTATGACGTCATATGACGCATGCCGTGCCCGGAGTTCGAAATACTTTTCGATCAGCTCTTTTTTTGCGTTCACTTTGTACTGATTCATTTTACCGACTTTCACTGCTTTATTTAAGCTATTTTATACATTGAGTGGTTTGCACACTCAACTTAAACATAATTAACCATTTTTATCATCCAAAACGAGATATCGCTTGTGTGAGATCATATGATATCTCCTAGGAGATATCTTGATGACGTCACAATGCTATGACATCACTGGACTGCAAGTCTAATGGTAGTATCCGGCTCGGGTGACACTGTTACAAACAGGCGTACATCAGACCGTACTACCCTCGAGAGAAGCATACAACTTATATTGCACTCTCTCAAAAAAGAAACGCACGGAGGTAAACTTTGGAACAAAATTTCTTTATTTTGAATGACAACAACAAAGTAAATAAAAATCACACAGATATCAAACTTTGCATGATGAGGACCATTGGATAACTGCACCATATGAATGTAAGTTAATGCCACCACAACGTCACCGCTACACTTGACGCCGGCTTTTAAGTCACTACCGGTTGTGACCACTGTTTGCTTGGAGCACTGCTTGGCATCTCCTTGGCATAGACAGAATACGTGTTCACACCCTAGCACTGGGTATTCTAGCCCATTCATCGTGCAATGCATGTCGTGGATGGTGAAGCGTCTGGGGTCGTGGATGACGTCGTCGGAGCCTTCGATCGAGATAATCACATAGGTGTTCGATTGGATTTAAATCTTGGGATTTAGAGGGCCAGGGAAGCACTGTAATGTTCTGGTTGGTGAAGAAGTTCATTGTGATGCGTGCTGTATGGGGTCTGGTGTTATCCTGCTGGAAAATCTGTTTCTGTGGGTCGAAAACTGGAAGGAGGCGACGTTGCATGATTAACGAATGGAGGTTAGATTTCCCTGTCCATGCGCTAAGTCAGTTCTCTGGAGATAAGAAATTGCCGCCCACATCATCACACCCTCTTCCCCAAATATGTCAACCTGCGCGACACATTTAAGGGCGCAACGCTCATTTCGACGTCGGTACACACATATATGTTACATAAACCAAGCTTTCAATATATACTACCCATCAAAAGTTTAGACTCACTAGTGTAAATGTAGCCACTTTCTTCAGTCAACTGTTCTAAACTAGATTTTGCAAAATATTCCACTCTGTTTAAAGGTACTGTTTACACATGAACCGATATATTGTAAAACAAATTCGTAACGTTGAAAATATTATTGTCATGAGTTCAATAAATGATGAAACTCAGTGAAAATTGGTAAATTCTTAAGAAAACTTTACACCAAAACGCAGCTGTTCAGATGCATGTTATTTGCACATGATTTTCAGTAATCTGATGTTTGATCCTCGTGGAATTCATCTGCATAAAGATTGCAGTTGGTTCCCCCAAGATAGTGGAGAAATTCATCTTCGATGTAACCTCATATATATACATAACATATAGTGTGTGCTTTAAGTGAGTCTAAACTTTTGATGGGTAGTATAGTATGTACTGATGACCAGAATGTCGTAGTACTGCTTGATCTGACTACCCGCGACGTAAATATAAACTCACTCACTCACTATTATATACCCATTTAATATACGGGTAATATAATGTCTTTAACAAGTAAGACAACGGCGTTAATAGGATTGCTATTTATTCCTTTGATTCAGAGCATTATCTTTGAAATTGTGAAATTAAAGTAAATTTGAGCTGTTTCTAACCATTATTCTAAACTTGTCCAAATTTTTAATGCCGGATCATAATACCAAAACAGGTGTTCTAAAGTTTCTAATTTTTTATTACAAAAACGGCAAAGAGGTGATTGCAAAATCTTTACCCTGAATAAGAAGATGATATTAATTACATGATAAAAGCATAGCAAACATGTTAATTCCATGCGACCATTGAAGTATATATTAAATATAAAGACTCTCAACATGATATGTTCTATTTTCCTACGTCCCCACCATGAGTATACTTGAGAGTAATGTCATATGTCTTCATTAGAATTGGAAGCTTGGAAGCGTGATGTCGAGATTATAAGGTCGTGAGCAGGTAGTCTAATCAAAACAAATAGTAAATAATCTACTCGTTACATAAAAAAAACCTTGTTAGGATCTAGATCTACTCAGCTGTGTCAACCACTGAGGCGTTCGACATTTCAAGACGGAAAACCTTCGCTGGCGGTGAATACTCGGTGAAGGCTTTGATGTGAGATGTTTTTCTAATGTTTTGTTGATATTTCACAGGCGCGAGCTTTTTATATGTTATGACAGTAGATTACCGATTCAACTGTTTATATAATTTCATTTGTCAATTTCACCACACGTTTTAATAGATATGTGATATAGATATGTCTTTGTCACAGACAAAACTCAATGTCTGTTTTATTGACACCTGTGTGTCTGCCTGCCTGTCTGCTAATGACATTGTGCAATACACAACTTCGATCACTGACCACATGCAATTTTAACTTAACACTTATCAGGCTATACACCATTAACAAAACGCATTGATTTATGGCTCGTGCACCCCAGTTCGGGCTCTGTCACATTATGTAATTACACATACAGGCAGGTGTGATACTTGTAGACATGACAGGTTATGTCTGTTGATTGTAAAATGTTATACACAAAAATGAGCATGTATTTACAAAACCCAACATCTCTATATATACACAGACAATGAGCCGTGAGTGCTTTGACAAATGAACCAGCCAATGAAAGACTTTGTTACACTTGAGTGCACATCCACCCGCTATGACTGGGTTCGGTATCCCAGGTGCTTCGTTTCGAGGGAAGTAAACCCAAGTACAAAATATTGCACTTTTGATTTGCGATTGTATGCTTATAATTTTGTTTATATGTTTTTTTCATAATCAGCAATGTATATTATATGTCGTGAATACGTGGTAATTGTGTTTTAATTATGTTTGATTTTTTGTTTGCATGTGACCTTTAATAAAACATCCAGTTAGACGTAGCTCGTTCAGTTTTTATGTTTACAGACAAACTATTCTAGATGGTGACCATTTTGAAACAGGTTGGAATACTGCTGTCGACACAACAAAGTATCGCAAAATCCACTAATTTTACAAAATTATATACCACGTAACCCCTCGTAAATTGTTTGGATGTTTGTCAAATACAGTGATATTAACGATCCCATGCAACCATAAAACAAACATAATTAAAACACAATAATCACTTATTCATGACACATAATATACTTGCCCGCGGATTTTGTCCACACAAAGTAATCAAATACTTTCCATTTGGTGCTTAGATTTTAAAAGGCCAGTGCGTGTCATTCAGTATCATTAGTGGTAGTAGAAGTTGAAACAGTAGGGCAGTAGCTGGTTGGGTGTTGTTTAACGTCACACTCAACAATGTTCCAGCTATATGGCGATAGTCGGTAAATAATCGAGTCTAGACCACACAATCCAATGATCAACAGCATGAGCATCAATCTACGCAATTGCAATGACTGACATGAGTCAGGCAAGCCCAGTTCGTCACGAGGTTACGACAGGCATAGGTTGCTGAAGGGCAATTCTAGGACCGATATTCACGGGTAGTAGTAGTAGTTGTGGTAGCAGTGATAGTAGTGGTGGTAGTAGTTGTAATAGTTGTAGTAGTAGTAGTAGTAGTAGTAGTAGCAGTGGCGGTACTAATAGCAGTAGTAGCAATGGTGCTACTACTACTAGTAGTAGTAGTGGTGGTGGTGGTGGTAGTAGTAGTAGTAGTAAAAACCGAAAGAGGTAGTATTGGTAATAGAGGCAGAGTAGTAGTAGCAAAGTAATGATAGCAAGTTGTCAATTTCAGCCATTCCACATCGTGTGCTACTGTTTTAGGTCATGTGACGTTGGCTCACCTGTTTTAGATGGCTACCGCAAAGAAGCTGACAGACAACCACCTGTGCCATCTGTACAGAGGTGTATACAGATCCTGCCACACTTCAGTGTAATCACACATTCTGTAAGTCCTGTCTGCTGAAATACACCGAAACACACTCAGAAGCAATACAAGCCAAGTCCATCCCATGTCCCTCCTGTAGACAACAGACAAAGGTGACCAACCCTGACAGTCCAGTGGAGGAGTGGGTCAGTCAGCTGAAAGCAAGCCACATCATACAGAGTCTGATGGACGATTTTGGACCAGGCACAGAAGGTTATTGTTTGCTGCACGACCACAACGTGTCTATATGCGCCTTTTGGCATGGAGATAATTGTTCAGTTGGTTTCTGTAACATTTACAATCTGATATACATGAATGTAATTAAAGGCCTAAAAGTGTTTTCGACCTTCACCGA